TTCAGATTGGCCCCATATAAATTTTATCAAAATCGATATAGTAGCTATTTTTTTAATAAAAGTGGCTGGTTTTGCCACAATTCAGTCTTTTTTTATTGAACAGAATTTTAAATTGTTTTCTTAATAAATGGAATTGTTACGATTTACAGCATCCTCGTTTGCTATACTTTCAGATTGGACCCATAGCAATTTTATGACAGTCAGTTACGTAGTTTAATTTTTAAATACAAATAACTAGTTTACGATTGAAGTCAGTGTTCTTTTTTTTTGGAACAAACTCTTAAATTATGTTAGGTAAGTACCTTGTAATAAAAATAGTCGAGTATTAATTTTTTTTTATCACAAATCGAAATAGGTTATCTAATCTAATATTAATAACTATAACACATAATAAAAATCAATATATATTATGTATAATATATTATTATATTTATTTGTATAATAAACAAAGAGCTCATTCTTATAACATGCAATAGCAGTTGCACCCGTTTATATTTTATATTTTGTTGTGTGTACACATTGCATTGGGGCTTCCATAGCATTGGCTGAGCCAGTTCCTTTTGCCTAATATGAGACACTTCTTATGTAAAATATTACTGTATTTTCTGTTATAACTATGTGTTTTTCTGGCAATATTTTCTATTTTATTCTATTGCCTATTGCTGTGTGATGCCGGGTGTGTATGCCGGGCATAGAATAGGCCATTTATTTCCCGTAGGTGTCGTAAGAGGCGAAGGATTGACAGTAGCGTCCCTCTTAAAACATCTAAAACATCTCCAAAGCGTAACTGCGATTGCCAATTCGCCTAACAAGAGTAGCAACTACCAGCAAAAACTTCCAAGGGAGAGACTTAAGTTCAGCAGTAGACAGTTTAAGGCTGATATGATGATGATGATGATTACATTCTATTCTAATAATACGTTTTTAATATTCCCATTAATTAGTGAATAAATGTGTATACAGTAATGATTATTTATTACCACTATTTAAAGAGGTCACAGTATAAATTAGTTTAAAATCTAAAAATCTAAAGCTGGTTTTTCACAATGTACCTATTAATATAATGCAGATAGCATTTGTAATATATATAAATCCTTATCGGTTACCCTATCATAGAATAATACGAATATAACCGCACTTCGTACTTTGTAATAAAACCATTTTACTTATATGTACAAATAATTATTTATATATTCATACTAATCTTATTACATATATCTATAATTAATGTAATCATTTCATTAGTTTTCATTTCATATTTAAATAATTCTCGTACTGTTTCTCAATCTATATTGACATAAATATGTAATTTTAAATCAACTTTTGTTGAAAAAAAAAAAGACTGCTTTTTCCAACAAAACTTAATTTAAAATTACGTTCGAAATGCAATTTCTGTTGAAAGAAACTCCACTACTGTTGAGTTTCTTATCCGCGCCTCTCCGCTGAAATTGCTTTCTGAACGAACGGTAAAATCGTAAAAAAATACTATTAAAAATACTTGTGATTAAGTTTATTTAAATAAAAAATTCTTAGTCTTATTTCAAAGCGAATAAAACGCACCTACACACCCAAAATTTTTCATACCCAGACTCCTCTCTATTCAAAGGTTGCCTGGAAGAGATCGCTTTTAGCGATAAGGTCGCCAATTGTTTTTTTACTGTGATTATTTCTTGTAACTGTTTGTATCTATAATAAGTTTACTATTGTAACCTTTTGGAGGAAACAATAAAGAGTATTTATCTATCTATCTATATATAAAACAGCTCACTATTTTCCTTACCAATTGGAGCTCATACTTTATTCACTCATGCGATTTACTTCTACCCTTTGCTATAATAAGATTCTCTCTATAGTGTTATGATGCGTTAAATTTCTTTATTGGGTCAATAGCTGTGTAGTTTATTTACAACTCCCTGTATAGCCTTCTTCTCTTCATAGTGGTATGGGTCAAAGCACTAATGCAACATATGCCTAAGGGCAAAGGTAAATAAGATATTTGTTTTTTTCGTAGAAAAATGTTTACTGTATCAAGGCTCACGATAAAATGAATAGTTTAGTATATGATCTCTGTTCTTTATAATATTAGTGCCAGTGACAATTTACAATTTAACAATTCGTCATAGTCGTAGAATACTGACGAATCTGACAAATATTACATATAAAGATCCGTCAGTATTCTACGACTATGACGAATTGTTGTAATTTAACAGAACTATTCTTGAAATGAAAATCAACATAATACTCTATAGTAATATCAGACATTTTCTTACAATCAATTATTTTTGTCCAATATAATGAAACTCGAATGTCCAATTATGATGGAGAATATCGTGGCCATCATAGTATATACTAGTATATTTTATATGAAAGTCTTCAAATAGCGCCGCAGTTTCAATTCGACTCTGAGACTTGTACTAGATATTATTTATTCTGTAACTGAGTATTTTCACAAATAATTAAAAAAAGCTTTCAAAATTAATTACACAATTGAGCCCATTTTAGTTATTGATTTAGAAAGCAATCACACCTAAATAAATAATCTCGTATCTAGTACAAGACTCAAACCCGCGCAAATATAGAAAATTTCGATTTTTTTTTATACTACTGTTTCTATTCGATTCGATTCTAAAATAGGGCCGATTTCTAGACCTACACCTATGTTTGGCGTCTTATAATGCAGGACATACTAAATTGAAGACTTGATAGGTAATTATTAGTTTTATAAGTTACACTACTCGATAATTGAATGTGTCAAATCCAAACAAGAAAGTAATTAAGTACACATTAACCACTCTTAAGGACTAATTATATTTTTTTACAGTTCATTAAAATCATTAAAAAAACTATAAACATAAATTTTAATAATAAATTCACATTATTTACAAGCAAAATGTATTTTAATACCAAAGTAGCCTAGGCCGCCCAATACGTAGTGCTCGAAATGAGATACCAGCCACACCCAGTCAGGACACTTGACCTAATTTTAAAGTTTGTTTCCTGATTTAGCCCAACAGAAAATCAGATTCCACACCTCATTTACATACACAAACTAACAATCTTCACCAGCGGGCCATAGCTATGGAATGAAATATATAGGTAACGAGGGAAGGGCATTATTAGTAAGTATCATTGACCAATATCTTGTACCATCTTGAAGCTAGTCATGCTTACTATAAGATCTTAATGGATGGCGGAGTGATGGTTCATTCGGTTCTTTAAAATATAGTTGAGCGCAATGATGACTAGCTCATCCCTTATACTCGAGAAAGAGTGTTGCTTGTAGGGACTGATCTGCTCATGTTTGCTTTATTTATTTTTCATTTAATAATACACATAAAAAGAATATAAAAACTTATTATAGTCACAGTAGCCAAACAAATGTAAAATTATCTAGTAATTCGAAAAGAATATTGAGTTTCTTGCGATTTCTCAACAATATAACACTGTTTCGAGCCCAGCAATAGAATCATAAAAAATTTACGCTTTAAAAGAACTTGTAAACAGATCTAATTCTTTGAATAATGGTTATTTCTATTCTATTTTACTATCCCTACCTACCTAATGGGTCGAGGGAAAAGAAATTTTCAGTAATGGGGTTTAAAAGCCTCATTGCTAGTAATATATCCTATTTTTTTGATTGGTGAAAATGGTATGGTAACCCCGCTTGCGTTAACGGGATACGCTGGCGGAGCACCAGTGAAGGGTGATAAATGAGAATGAAAACAGGCCAGTTAGCATCATGATAAATTCATCAGGAATTAACCATGATAGTTTCCAGGGAGAACCGCGAAGAAGTCGACCTGGTTGGTATATTGCTAGCAATGGGATTCTCAGTCTGCATTACTAACAATCCCTTTCCCCCCAATATACCCTATTAGGTCAACCTCCACATGGTCCGCATTTGGGGTTAATTTATTTATTTACCTTAAAATTTATTACCCTGTAAATTTATTTATTTATTTATTACATCCACTGGGTGAGCCTTACAGTTTTCCAATACGCTCACCCAGGAAAGCATGAGTACAATAACATATAAAAAAGGAATATTACATATATATAACAAGAATAATATAAAAAGACTTAAACAAAAATTCACGCCATATCCCACCCTTCAAACCGAAACATAGTTAATATTGTGAAAGCATCATGCTACTTTCATTCTCTGAAAAAAAGTAGGTAAATATACCTATATATCTTCGTATGAATTATTTTATATACCAGTTAAATATTATAAATTGTTTTGTAATTATGCTTATCAATCAGGATTCATTTAGTAGGTACCTACTTTGGTTACTATAAAGAGCATTATCAATTTGAACCTCATTGCACTCAAAAGGTTGAATTCTGTTTTATTTAATTTTATAACGATTCTATTTTAGCAAGTGTTTATTTTTTATTGGATAAACCTTATTATTCTTATTAGTATAAATGAGAAAATGAATTTGTTGGTTATTGCTTTTGATGTTTTGACTGTTCAACCATCCGTCTTGAAATTTGACATAGTATATATTTTTTAAATTTAATAATGTTATTTAATTCAGTGGGTACTTATATTAGTAAAATAATTGGAAAATAACCAAGCATTGCGGTGCCTTAAGATTGCGAAGAGTAGGTATCAACAATTTGGATTGTCGAATAGTACAAATCAACGGTAAACAATAGTTACTGATTATTATTAAATTTAAATACTTATCATGTTTTTCTGTATTGATAAATTTAATAATACATACCTACATACAGCGACTGAGTCTCTTCTAAATCGCCGACTAAACAGAACACTGTTTAGACAAAGAAATGTTTCAACCGAAAGGATATCGCTTTTGTATCAGTAGCTAGGTACTACAAGACGGATCCATTACTAGACAGCAATAAAAGCTAACGACGTACATTACAGTGTTATTCAAACAAACAGACAAAACCCTGTATGGATACAACATATTAGCAACGGATTGAATTGTCGAAACGTGACAGCATAAGAGACTATTGCGATTATTACTGACCTTATGGTAGTGCGAATCCGTTCTGTACACGATAAGTCAACCACAAGAGCGATATATTTATCTACCAAAGCGGTATATTGTTGGTAGTTTTTATTGATGGGTGTTTGCAATGTGCGGACGCGGGCGCGTTTCTATTTTGCGCGCTTCGCGATAAGACGCAGCCAGTGCGGCGCGTTGTCGCGGACTGTGGGGGAAAAGTGGAAATCCGATGTGGCCGGACCGCTCGGCTGTCGGCTGTGGCAGGTGACGCGGAGTACGCGTGCGCGGCTAGCCAAGGTCGTGCGCGAGAATACCGCTTGTGTACACTACGCTGTATTCGCTAGCTAAATGATCTCAAACTGTGTATACAATACATCAATCAGAGGACTCAGAAGGCATAAGTTTAGCACCTTGTTGATATTTAAGTACGGCAGAACTAGTTGAATTACGACCGGCTTATCCTCACCAACCATTCGTCCGGCCCTAATAGATAAGGCGGTGTTAAAAGTAAAAACACGCAACAAAAAATATACCTAAAATAAATATTTTGCACTCAAACAGTAGCCGTTACATCTTTAACTGTTTTTGGATCTATATATTCAATTGTCTGTGTAATTTTAAGCAATTTTAAAGTGTTTGCTGAATATTTAGCGACTCATTTAGTTACGCTCAACAAGTAAAAATATAAATGAGTTGTATACTGCAACCCAGGTGATCAAGTGAAGTTCCTTATTTAAAATTTATAACGGTTTGATAATACTTTTTTAATTACTCGATAATTGTGATTTTGTTATATCTGGCGCAATAAATGAAATATTTTAAGGTCCATTGTAAAATATATATCATGTTACCTATGCTCACCCTTCGTGCTTAATAACTAAACTACCGAATTACCTATGCAGATACTCTATTGCGTTCCTATAATTCAATTAAGGGTATTGAAGACAGTACAAGTCGTCTAAGACCTTTTATACAGCCTATGTCCGAAGTGGGTTACGAGTACGATAAATACTTATATGTTGTTCGTCAAAACATATGAGTCCTGAGTCCTCAGGGATGGCATCGCATAAGGGTATCATGGACGAAACAGTATACTCTGTTATGTCCATGGTACTATTCATGTTTACAGGCGACGGTTACCATTTTCCATCAGGTGGGCCGTCAGCTTATTTGCCATTCTAAGTTGCATAAATAAATAAGTTTTTTTTCATAACATCGAACACCGCGTATGCATCGCATATTTCCGACAAAAGTCTGATTCAGGTCAGAACTCTGGGATTGATTGATTGGACATCATTTCTCTAAACATTACTATTATCAAATCTTTAAAAGGATCAATATAAACTAAATTTCAAACAGGTTTAAATTAGAACATTACAAATTTAGTTTTTGATGGTCCATAAAACAGTAATTTCGCGAAACTATCCAATTAAAATATTACGTTAAAAGATAGCTTCATTGGCAAATTTTAGAACTATTATCTATATAGATTATGTGATAAAAGACAGCAATAATTTACCTTGTCCGGGTTCATAAACGTTATTAATGTGAAATTATTTTACTAAAAAAAAACACCAAATACACAAAATTATAATACTTTTATGTAATACATATATGAAAAACAATAACAAGTTGTAACAAAATAACAGCAAAAGTGTTTATATTTTAGTTCTATAAGTTATTCTAAACAATAAAAAAACTCTAAATAATACTGATAGGTATTATCTTGAGATCATGATCAAAATTAATAAACATATAAGTACAGTCAACGACAAAAAAAATTTAAACGATTATTAAACTTATTATGCTAAAATAAAGATCAACAGCCATGAAACGTGTTCAATCATTTACTGCGTTGTTTACTATACTTGACACAATACATTTTCTAATTAACATAATTCTAATTTTAAGTGTAATATCTTCTTAATTTAAATTCCATTGCTTTTTAAATTTATATACAAAAATTACTTAAAAATTGATACGTTGAAAACGAAAAATGATTAATAGTTTAATTTTTCGTATAAAGTTGTAAATAATGAAGTAAACAAAGAAATTTATATTTTTTAATTATTTTCTGTAACAAGAGTTATATATGAAGTAACGTTATCTTCAGTCCTAAAATTGCTACACAAATATGAAACATAACACTATACAAGTAATTGTAATGTAGTTAAAATATAAAAAGATTTTGTCTTCTTATATTTGAAATATTTACTAAACAATCTTGGTATATATTGTTCATTATAAAAACGACACATACATTAATAAACAGGTAACTAGAATAGAAACATTTTGTATTATTTTTTTTATTTATTGTGTTTTTAGTGTGCGATAAAGAATTGTTTATGTTTTAATTTTAAATGACGAAATGATGGCAAGATTGTTTATTAAATTAATTAAGAACATTGTTATTGGACGCATATGTCCAGCAGTGGACGGCTTATGGCTGATGATGATTATGTTATGTAACAATTAAACAAATTTTGTTTACGCTAAGTATATATATATAAGTGTATATAAATTATGTCTTTACCATCTATAACTTATATAATAAATCTCAGAAGAGGAAAAAACTTTTTGTTCCGAGCTTATATTGGTTAAGTAGTATCCACAGCGAGAAATGTAACAAACACAACAAGCCTGAACAAACGCGACATCTTTATATTACCTGGTTTATTACATTTTTTCGTTGTAAGTACTGTTTTCAGTATTTTTTTTTATAAAAACGTACAATAACATGAAGCAGAAAAATATAATATATATAAAAACCAAGCAACACAATATTATATAGGTAAAGTGTAATACAATACATTTGTTGATGTATATATATATATATATATATATATATATATATATATATATATATATATATATATATATATATATATATATATATATATATATATATATATATATATATATATATATATATATATATTAGTACTTATACTGTTTTTTTTTTAATTCATTAAATATATCGTTTATATATAAATATTAAAATTTAACTTGGATTTTATAAATGTAATACTGAAAATAATATTACGTATACTGAAACCTTGTAAATTACATTTAACGTAAATAAATAACGTACAAGGTCAATGTGTTGAGTTTGTAACAATAAATAAATACAAATGATTACTTCACTGGTAAATACAAGTTTGACATATAACAGCTATATAGTAACATCTCCGTTTATCCGATTGTAAACGAGATTGCACTAATTTAAATACTTGTTGAGAAAATAAAAATCTATTTCCAGCATTGATTTTTATTTCTCTTTTTTTTTAAAAGCTTTTTTGCGGGCGGTATATCCATGTCATGTGTAATTATACAATGTCTTTTCAGTTCCGAGTATTTTCGAAACTTAGAATCGCATATTAGGCAGTCTACTATCATCTTTCTCACATTATGAATGGTCCATTCGTGGTCCCATTTCTCCTTCAAAGTCTTAAAGTATTGAAAACAGAATCTGCATTTGAATCGGCTGCACACTTCCTTGCTGTGAGCACACTTGACGTGTTTATTGAGCATAGATTCAAAATGAAATATCTTATCACAGTATTGGCATTGGACCGGCGAGTGTTTATTGTGATACTCCATGTGCTGTGTGATCATTTTCTTAGAGTTGAATTTTCTTTGGCATAAATCGCACTGTAGGTATGTGGTGCCGTGGATCTTCTTGTGTTTAGAAAAATTACTGGAATCACTGAACGATTTGTCACAAAATGTACATTTGTACAGCGTTAGTTTGGCGTGTTCACGCAAGTGGGCTTTGTAACGGTCTATTTTAGTGAATGTTTCAACTTGACATACCTCACACTGTATGTTGAGTGTGCCATTCTTGTTCACCGGCGTCTTGGCGAGGGTACTTCGTATCACGTGTTCTATAAGATGTCTTTTAAGATCACCAATCCGGTCGAACATCTTGAAGCATACGTCACAGGACTGTAAATTTATTACAAAACACAATTTTATCACTAAGTATAGACAGTTGTAGTTTCAACAAAAACTAAATTAGATAAAATAGGTAGATAATTATTTCGAAGATTTGAGTAAAATTTTGTACCGAAACATAAGAATATTTACTACATTTATTATTATCATCTCAGCCATCATCCACTACTGAATATAGACCTCCCCAATAGAAAACAATTTATTACATTATATGACATCAATTCCAATAATTTTATTATATGACTAAATATCTAAATATAAGTATGCAATATTATAAATTGAAATTTTACTATTATTTTGTAATGTTTTAACAGATATCTAACTAAAATATTATTTATCTATAATATTTTCATCACAAAAATTAATTCAGTAAATTTTAAAAAATCTGTAAAATGTATTTTAATATAGTAATAACAGAAAGTCTTATTTTTAGGTCATTTTTTTATGCAACTTAGAATATATAACCAAATTAGAATATAACCGTCGCCTATAGCCATGAGCAGTATCATGGACATAACAAAGTATTCTGTTTCGCCCATGATCCCCCCCCCCCCATGCATTGCCATTCCTGAGGACTCAGATGTTATTTCTCTATACCCTGTAATTCACTGTCACCCTTCCAAAGTACAAAGTCACCCTCTGGTGAGGTCCCTTTATAATTGATATGATAATTAAGTAAAAAAAAGCAAGCAGTAATTACCTTATTGTATCTCCTGTGTTTTCTAACCTTTTTAGAGTGCAAGAGGAAAATCTTATTTGATATCACTTTAGCTATAACAGAATCTGCTTTTTTTATTTCTTCATCGAAGTTCTTACTGGAAGCGGTAAGTTGATTTTCTAACTTCAAATTCTCAATTTCAAGTGGCTCAACAATATTGCCTGTCTCGTTGCATATGTCATTCACAAACGAATCATTACGATCGGTTTCACTAGAATCATTGGGCACAATTTGACCACTATGTAATTGTTCATGTTCTGTTAATTCAATATAATTCTTAGTTGTAAAATTACAATGAATACACAAGAAAATAAAATGTATTTTCGCAACGTGCGCTTTTAAATCTTCGACCTCTGAAAATGTTTTGTAACAGAAATTGCATGGGTATTTTCTGTAATGTAACTTCCGGTGTGTACGTAAAGTGAATTTTGATGCGAACACTTTATGGCACTTATTACATTCTAAATCTGGATCACCATGCCCCATGCAGTGGATTTCAAACTTTTCCTGACTCTTAAGGGTCTTCCCACATTCGGTGCACATAAATTTAACTTCACTCACAGTACCATTTTCAATATCATACATGCTCAAACTTTTTGCTATATTGTGATTACCGACCATATGTTGTTTGAATGCAGCTATTTGATTAAATATTTGCTTACATTTATCACACTGATATTTTTTCTGATTACGATTAACTTTGACATCATCTGAAAAGAAAAAAAAACCTTTGAATAATTCTTTCTTTTTCTTCTATATATCTGATATTGTTTATTAATTGTACATACACATATTCAATAAACTTCAATCTGTAGACCGATACTAAATACTCATGTTAAAGGAAAACAAATAAATATGTCCATATGTATACTGTTACATATTTTTTTAGTTTTCCTTAATTTTAGTAATGTATTTTGTAACTATATGATGTATATATATATATATATAGTAAAATCTAAAACTATAATTTTCTCTGCTTGTTTGTAAGTTTGGTCAGGCTTCACGTAACAACTATTGTCCGAAATTGAATGTTTTCACAGTTGTGGTGCAATGGCGTAAGTAAAAATATTTGTCAAACAAATCCTACAATTTTTCACAAATCTTTCCAGTATAAATAAATTCACATCAAGAGATCCTACAAAATTGAAATTGTGATATAATGACCATTAGAGTATATAATAGAATACCAAAATCAATAAGAGAACTGCCATTAAGTTATTTTAAACTACGGTTAAAAAAGTGGTTGTTGGAATGTAATTTTTATTCAATAAATGACTTTTCAAAATAATTAAATGTATGTAAATGTATAAATATTTCAGCTATACTGTATATATATTATTATATTTAGTATTTTAATTTAGACTTGTCTTAGATATAATATATTGACACGAGTATTTATATAAAGATTAATTTAAAGCAATTTAATATTAGAATATATGACGTGTTAATTATATTATTATTATAACGTAACAGTTTCATTATATTTGGTAAAGACTTACAAAGATGCTATTGAATATTAAAAAATAAATTGTAACATCTTATTATGTAATTGTTCTGGCAAATAAATTATGATTATTATTCATTGTGACCCTAAAGGTTTAATTTAAAATATGGTATACGTTTTATTTTGATATCCCATTTAAAAGTGATTTATTTAATTAGTTGTCCAACTTCTGAAATTCAAACGTACGATGTAGCAAGCAAGCTATTTAATTAAATAATCATAAGCGATATAAATAATTAAACAAGGTTTCAAGACCCTTTTTGAACCTAAATAATTATCAAAGAAAAGTAGAAGACAGTCCATGGCGATCAATGCATTATTAATACTGAAAGCACCAGAGATGTTTTTGCCACTAAGCAGTTGTGCCTGCACAACTGTGTTTCAGTTTGAAAGGTGTGATATGGTAGTAAATTTATAAGATATGGAGGCATAACACTATAGTCCTGGGAAGGAAGGGATTGATAGTAATGTGGACTACCAGTCCCATTAATATCAATATACCCTGTCAGGTTGACCTCCACGTCTACTCTGGAACCTATCGTGCTGAACTGGCCTGCCTTTTCATTCTCATCTATCAACCCTCACTGGTGCCCCGCCAGCATATACCGTTAGCGCAGGCAGGTTTACCATTCCATTAGCATCTATTACAAAAAGCACATAGTCCTGAGGGTAAGGAGAGGTCATTGCTAGTAATAAATAATGGAATCTTTTAATTCATGAATCAATCAATTTTTTACAATGGGCTTATTGACCTAACTTAATGAATTATTTCTCTGACGCCAGAGTATACTGATAGCACAAGTGAGATTACCATTCCATATACATCACTAAAAATAACACAGTGATCATCAAAAATGACGACACTTGAAGAATACTGTGGGTACACTGTATTCTGTGACTTCTATGGCGCTGTTTGAGTCTATAAGCAATGGTTACCACTTTCCATCAGGTGAACCATCTCCTAATTTACTAATCCATGTTGCATCTCACCACACAGTACATAAGTCACATTATGGTTTTCATTCAACGGTAAACAGATTATTTTAAAAAGTATATTTAGCGTGTGTTGTAAATAACATAATAAAAAACCTAAATAAACAAATTAAAAATGTAACTACAAAATAGTAGGTTACTTACCAGTCTTAATATTTGCTGGGTTCAAATTTCCAACTTTTGAACATTCTAAGGATGGGTCATTGACCGCAATCTTCTGTATTGTTTGGCCACAGTGAGAATCGTGACCGAGAAACAGGATCGTCTTACGTTGTTTAGATGCAGATTGGATATCAGACGACATGAGTTGCTTCAATGCACCATTTTCACTCTGCAGCCCTATGTATTTACGCTCATCTTTGGCTTTATTTTCTTTTTCGTTCATTATTTCCTCAGAGAGTTGAGAGAGAAACACGCCACATTCAAACTCATTATCTTCATATAAATTCAAATTATTCCCATCTTGGTTGGCAGATGGTTGTTGAGTAACTGTCTCGGACGCATGAGGTTTCCTGAACTTTTTGTGCTCAAAATCTTCTGTGGGCGAGTATTGGATCGACTCTTTATAATTGAACACATTCTGGGTTATATACGTACTGTGTTGTTCAACAGTTATATGACTTGTGTGTGACTTACGACATACAGAGTATTCCTGAGTTTCTGTTGTATCGTAATGGTTATATACATGTGGACTTCTAACTGGGTCTATCCAGACTTTGGACTGGTTATAAGGGAATCCCGTGCCTTGCTCACTAATTATCAGCGGCGGCTGTTCGATATCAATGCAACTGGATGACCCACTATTATCAGGTGAACTGACATGATGAATACTCACATCATAGTTGTCTATTAATTTAACGTTACAAAAACCAGAGTACAGACACATTTCATTGCCTTCTATATCTGGTGAAGTTATATTCAAGTCAATAAAAACATTATCAGAAGCGTCACAGTTCGTTTCTAAAGTCGTACACTTTCTGGGTATGAGGAGTACTGGGTATATAGTATCGGAGTCTACAAGCGGGGTACCAGATTCCATTTTTTTTATACATATACAACCTACAAACACAACATATTTTATTCTATCAGCTGTATTTATACTTCAATATATGGAGGTAAATTAAAAAAATATTACAGAATTTATTACGTTAAAATGAAGGGAAATTCACTTACCACGTTCAGCGACGACGTTACGATGGAAAAGAAGCAAGAAATCTGAAGGTAGGTTCACTTTGAAGAAGTTTGAGCTTTAAATAAAAATTAAATTTATCTACCCTCATATTTATATTATTGACGGGTTTCAAATGACATAAATTTAATAAAAAGTTAATAAAAAGTGCGACAACAATCAATTTCAATATTTTAAAGCATTTTTACTTTGATTTTTTTTTAACATAATCCAAATTACAAAGTAGAAATCTAAATTCTAAATTCAAATTTTAAAACATCAATTTCTGCAATTTAACAACACAACAATCAATTGTGATTCTTATTACCAGGCCCCTAGAGTACACAAAAAAGTGCAAAAATGGATATAGCGTTGATACTCTTGGCAGTATGCGTTTCGTTCTATTACAAAATCTTTAATTTTATGCAAACATACGACGAATGGAAAAAATAATTACCTATATAACATAGTAAATAAATTATGCGTATAATAAATATTTTACATAATTTTTTTTAATTATTTATATGAATGAATTAGGAAAATAGCAATGAATAATTTTGTTATCCTGCTAATATTATAATGAGAAAGTTTATTGTCAAGACCACACGGCAACATTGGAAGTATTATTAATTTATTATATTAATGTATGTATACCTCGATACATGGATATCACAGTAACACCCATGGTACAGTTATGTGTTGTCATTTTTCAGGGCTAAGATGTAGTAAAACAAACAAACTGCTATATGAACTTTATTGAATCACATTTTGAATTAACCAGTTTTGGTAGCCGCTGATTCTCACGAATACGTCTGGAGCGCCGCGCGCGCAAGGGAAGCCCCATGATACAATACCGATCTGGACACCGCTGTCCACACGGGCCAGAGCGCTTCCAGAATCACCCTGTAATTAATAAAAAGAAAATTCTCAATTATTCTGTATTTTCTTTTTTTGTGTCTAAGTTATGCAAAAAATTCGAATATCAAAGTGACTTTAAAATAGTTTATGGGGTCGATATGGTTATTTTGTTATGTAAGCTTTCGAAATTTACATTGTTTTTACTTAATGGAACGTGATAATGAGGTTAAAGGAACTCACAGGCCTATTTACAAAGTACAGTTACCTTTTTACAGAGTAGAATTCTGCTGCTGAACGAAAAAAAAAACACACGGAAATGACACAAGATCTACATTCCAAATTTAAATATTAGAGGCTCATGTTTCTACAAATATTTTTTTTGTACTTATTTTGTAATGGACAATGGGTTTAAGACATGTATAGACAAGTCCGTAGATGGTTATCTAGATAACAGCTTGAAGAAGCATAAATTGTATTATATGTTTAATTTTCGTTTACTTACGTTACACACGCCAAATCCAGGGCTGTGCAAGGTGCACAATTCGATATGCGGTTCAACATGCGGTGCGGATTGGTTGAAGTCTATAGAGGCTTGAGCAACACCCTCCACGCATTGTTGCCCGCTGATGGTTTCGATGTCCAATTGTAGCAAAGTAGCTGACACAGGACCGCCGGCCTAAAATTTTTTATATAAGGTCGAAAATTATGATTATAATTAAATCGCCTGATGGTAAGCGGCTACTGTAGTACAATAATACTTCATCGTCACATCATATCAGTATTTTAACTATCCATTGCTGAATATAGGCCTCTCTCATAGACTGCCTTTGCCATTGAGATGTCTTACCAGTAGTTTCCATTCTCCTCAGATAGGCGGGTTGGCAACCGAATTTAGAATTTGGTAATGTTCTAAGAGGGATGGAGGGAGGAACCGTGTGGGGGTCGACCTGACAATGTGACAGTGTGTTTTAATAAAATGAATATATGTATTTATTTTATTCTGATAAATTAGGATTATTATAATTGCATAAAGTAGTTTGGAGATTTTATAACGTTCTGTTCTAGTTGAGTTGTAACGTGAATATTTTGAGTCATAGCACTCAGTAATTTTACTGCTGTATCACACCCTTCAAACTGGAACGCAGATGTGCAAGCAAGCTGTTTGAGGCCAATGACCTAATCTTGTAACAATAAACGATAGATTTAATTTTTGTATGAAACTACACCTCATAATATTAATATGTATTAACTTTTTACTTGAGTGAATGAGCCATTCTGCTAATTGGAACTGTTGGTAAGAATATATATGATTTTGTCTATATACATATGTAACGGGAAATTTACGAACTGACTGTGTGACGTTGTGACGCAAAGTGCCAAACGCCACCTAAAGATGATTTCCGGATGAAGTCGAAACAATTGTCGGAAGCGGCAAAAACATAGTGAGTTCAATAATTTCCCGTTACATATATATATAGACATCGGATAAAAAAAACATATAAGTTTTAAAAATAAAAATAATATAATAAAAATAAATGTTTTTTTTAACTTACTCTGATCCTTCCCCATCCAGCAGCTCTGACCGCTATACCCGCGCCGATGTTTTGGTAACTCAACGGGATCGACCTCACAATAGATGAGAATACAATTTCGGTGGTTGTGTACAGCAGACCAATGTCGTTCTTGATAGTGGATGACACATAATTCTGGTGGGTCAGATTGCGCGTGAAAGCGTACAACTCACCGCCCTGATTCCAACGGTTCGTGCCCACTATACCACGTAGATTGCTAAGGATGAAATAATGGCTATTAATATCTAGAAACGATTTTTATGCAACTTAGAATGGCAAACAAGCTGACGATCCACCTGATGGAAAGTGGTAACCGTCGCCTATAGACATGAACAGTACCTTGGACGTAACAGAGTCCATGATACGTTGCCATTCCTGGGGACTCAGGTGTTATTTCTCTGCACCCTGTAAATTCACGCCATATCCCACCCTTCAAACCGAAACACAGCCATGCAAACATAACTGCTTTACGGTTGAAACACGAATTATTTATATACTCGTATTAGCTTTTTACTCACTACCTGTAGATTTCAGAAATAGGGAAATCAATAAAACAGACCACTTATAAATGGCATATGAAAACAAAATAATTACCAATTTTAAGTTAAAGGTCTTTCAGAAATATAACTGTGAAAACACATCTAATTTGGTGCAATAGTTTTTGCGTGATGCTTAAATAAACATACAGATAAATAGACAAAATTTCGAAAAACTTTGTTGTTATTGTTTTGGCTTCTATTGTTTTCTTAAACATCTCCCATGTACAGACAGCATTTAGTTACAATTATTATTATTTTTATTATATTAGTAAGATAGATATGTCACCTCACCTGGAAAGAGCTCCGGAGCTATACACGGCAGATATGCAATGGGCAGCAGTCAATATAGTACGCGGGGAGATGATGGAACCACCGCAGAAGAAGCTTCTGACTAGTACGCCATTGGTTAATGCCACCATATGGGGATGAGCTCCATTCGCAGCTTCTATTCCGCCAACTATACGAGCATTGCTATCCGCGTGCTCGTAGTACACGCTGATATCTGCTTCGGGTGTAGGCACCGCTGGGAATATACCGAAAATGTAAATTCTCCCCTTCTAGGCTTTGTTTCCATACTAAATATGATTTAGACTCCTTAATAAAAGGTTCGAAGAAGACGTCATATTAAAGTTTAAATGTAACATTGCACTGGATAACCTTACATAGTCTTACATCACTTACCGAGGGGAAGGGATTGTTACTAATGGGGAAGTTAATTCCCATTGCTATCATCATACCTATCAAGACGATCTCCACGCGTTTCCCTCCAGAAACTATCGTGACTAATTCAACGACAAATTAGTCAAAATAAGGTTGTCTTAAAAAGATTGCTCTCAGCAATAAGACCGCCTTACTGTACTTATACAATTATATCGTTGTGTTTGTAAACTGCCTTGCTTATTTCCTATATTGTGTAATGCAAATAAAGTATACTTATTCATTCATTCATTCAAAATAGTTTCTAGGAGGAACCGCGTGGAGGTCGATGGATTAACTGACCTCCCTGGGTAAGGGATTGTTAGTAATAGTGATTTATCAGCTCCATTACTAGCAATATACCTTACCAAGTCGACCATCACGCGGTTCCCCCTAGAAACCATTGTGATCAATTCTTGTGGAATTTATCACGATGGAATTTGTTATAATAAATACCTAACCGGTTTCGAATTTTAGATATGTTTGTATATTAATTCGAAATAAAGCATATACATAGTTCTAATGTGAGTATTGTCTCCGTTACAAATAGAATGTTTATATATCATAAAGATTGGTGTAACCCTTAAAATGCCAAACGGTAAGAAAGAAAAGGCTACTTTAACATTTATTATATTTGTAAGGATAGACTACTCACCTATGCAGCCAACGAGGAACGTCACAAACAGAACGCCAGTTCTCAGATCCATTTTAAAACAGTGTATCTATGAGTATAAGAATATAAAATTGATTTACTTACTTATATAGATTTTTTTGCTAGACGTTATATAGATAGGTCTTTTATTATCTCACTAATAATTATTGATTAGGTTACGATTGATGCGATTTGCGATATTAAGCTTATTAAGCCATACAGAAGATACCTACGTTATCATTTTCGTAAGGTATTCTATTATATAATTCATTCAGGTAAATGCTATCAATACCTACACTCAGGGGAGGAAATTGTCAACAATGGTGATTAGCAACCCCACTGCTAGCAATATACTCTATCTTTTTATGCATGATAATGGAATAGTAACCCATGCATGGCTGTGTTTCGGTTTGAAGGGTGGGATACGGCGTGAATTTACAGGGTACAAAGGAATAACACCTGAGTCCTCAGGAATGGCAACGCATGGGGGGTATCATGGGCGAGATAGTATGTGTGTGTACTGTTATGTTCATGGTACTGCTTATGTCTATAGGCGACGGTTACCACTTTCCATCAGGTGGGCCGTCAGCTTGTTTGATGATAGGTGAGAATGAAAAGGCATGTCAGTTAGTCCATCGTGATGAATGGACTTGGCATTTAGCATGATGGTTTCCACGTGGAGGTCGACTTGATAGGATATATCGCTAGCAATGCGACTGGTAGTCCGCATTCCTAACAATTTCTCCCTCCCAATATACCCTGTCAGATGGACCTCCACTCGTTACATCATGTTGGGCTAAGTGACCTGCTTTTTAATTCTATCCATAGTATCCATTAGTATCCATAGTATTTATTCCATCCATTATACCATCTCTTCCCTAACACCTATTATGCTGAGGGGGAAAGGATTGTTAGTAATGGGGAGGTTAGTCCCCGTTGCTATCAATACATTCTACCAGGTCGACCTCCACCATTGAAACCATCGTGACTAATTTATCATTAAATTCGTCACGATGGGCTAACTGACCTGCCTTTTCATCTTCACCAATCATCTCTCACTGGTGCCCCGCTAGTGTATACCGATAGCACAGGCGGGGTCCATGCCATTATCGTCCATTAAAAAAAAACACCTATTATGCTACTCCACTAGCGTATACCAATAGCCCAGGTAGATCGCCATTTCATTTACATATCTAAAAAAAAAAAGAAATACCTACATTCATGGTGCCAATTGAGTTTTTTTTATGTAGCTTAAAATAGTTAACAAGCAAACAACCAACTGAATGCCCTTTTCATCTAATATTTGTTGTCAATAGGCATACCATGAACCATGGTCATTACAGAATATACTGTGACGCCCATACTACTTATGCGTAACCGCATGACGTCAATAGTATGTTTATGCTAATAAAAATATGATATTCTAATTGTTTCCTTTGTTTGATGTCACAACTTTGCCTTTATTATTTAATTAGGTCGATAATCGACTTTTCAACATGTAAATTTATTTATATTTATTACACTGTTTTTGCTGTATTAACTTTAATTAAGAGTTTTGTTCCACTATAATGGTTACTAAAAATATAAAACATGGCAACAGTAGTAGCATAATGTACTTACTATGTTTAGTCTTCATTACTTTTTTATAGGAGCTAACAAAGTGACCATACCTTACCTAAGCTAAGTAAGCTGGTAGGGAGAAAGGGATTCTTAGTAATGGGATCTAATTACCCCATTACTAGCAATACGCTAGTAATGGGTATTGCTAGTTCCCCATTACCTGGAAACTATCTTGGTTAATTCTAGTGAAATTCGTCACGATGGGCTAACGGCCCTGCTTTTATCGTCATTTATCATCCCTCGCTGGCGGGGGCCAGCGTATACCGATAGCGCAGACGGGGTTAACATTTCATTATCACTCATTAAAAAAAATTTAAGCTGGTAATGTGACCCAAACGTGAGGTGGCAACCCTCACATCACTCACAGCAATTTATTGTGTTGGCGACCGGCATCTTGAAAGTTTACAAATGAATCTTTTAACGCGATTATAGGTTGAAGGTAACACATGAATGGGAAGAGAATTCTTTACCCTATGGTAGTATTTTTTTTTATAACACAGAGGCAAATGAGCATGCGGCTCACCTGATAGTAAATGACTATCGCCGGCCATGATCACCCGCAACATCAGAGGCATTGTAGCTGTGCTAGTAGTAGAAAAACCATAAAAATTAATACCCCAGTAGTCTTTATTATAGATATATTATAAGAATTATTTTTTCAGTGTTTAACATCAGATATTATGACTAAAAACGGTAAAATAAAACCAATTTAATTACTATCATATATTTATTTTTATACATTTTTTTTTTATTTCGGATATAATGTATAATATAATGCCTAATTAAAATATACCGTTTTTCTTACAATAGAAAAATGGTTTTCAGTTCAAATTATTTTACAATATCTTTAATCTCCGCTCCCCAGATAGCACAGCGTCGTCTGACTCAAAAACACGTAATTAGGGTCATGAAAAAAAAACTAAAAGAATTAGGTCTTTTTAGTCGCAGACTACGTACAGACTGTGAACTAAAAATTTTTAAAACTGTTTTTAATGTCGTTGAGTCTAAAATAACTAAAGTATAACGTCTTTCTAAGGTCTGCGATTCTAAATGACTAAATAAGAGCGTATTATTGTGTCGTGGATCATAAAACGACTAAATAATGGCATCTTTTTAGAGCTGTAGACACTAAAATAACTGAAAATGGCATATTTTTAGAATTATAGACCTAATTATAGACTAAATAGAATTATAGACTAAATAAAGACATTTTAGAGACACAAAGGTCACGATGCTATCAGGGTGTGTGTACTATTTGCGTCAAGCATTTCAGACGATGTTTTCCAGCAACCAATTCCTGTAAGCACTGACACGTACAAACATGTCAGGTGCACCACGTGCGCATGCAAAGCCCCACGACACTATACCAATCTGCTCATGGATATCTATACGCACTAAAGCACTGCCGGAGTCACCCTGAAACAAATATTTTTATTGTTAGTATCTTTTCCGCATGATTTTATTGCTATTTTCACTTTTTTAAGGTTTGGTTTTAAAAAGCCTGTATCTTTTTGATGTTTATAAATCTTGAACGGATTGGAATGCCTCAGAGTTTTCTCGATGGATATAGATCCTGTTGCAACTATAGGCTACATTTTGGGATACAGGGTTTATTTTCTGTCTATGGCCCGCGTTCTTCATCTGTCTTCCATTAATTGTTATTCACTACATCAGCATTCTATCATGTTAAGTATATAATTCTTTATTCATTATATCAAGCAGGACTTTAGGTTTTTACCTACAATCGTAGCCTGATTAAACAGATCCCATATTAAATTTACAATCAAATGATTATGATGTCATTTCTTTTATTTTACTTAATTATAAAACATTCCATGAATTTATAACAATTTTTTTCTTTATACCACAAAGGTGGCTAACAAGCATACAGCCCGTACGATGGTAAACGGTCACTGTAGCCTATGGACGCTTGCGACACTAGGGGTGTCACGTGCGTATTTCCGACACCAAAGAAAAAAAAATTATCTTTCAAGAATTTCTCCTTTAAAAAGGATATTAGCAAATTATTGCTATGTTAACAAGGCGGTTTAATTTGTGTAATATAATTTTTATTAATTTATATATAACTTCACCAGCGTGAATGAGACATTATGATTGACCGAGAAAATAGCTTATGTTCTATCCCAAATACTACGTATTTACAAAATTTTGTTAAATTTGGTTAAACCATTAAAGCCCTTAAAGGCAACAGACTCATAGTTCATCACAAACTAACATTCATATTTATAAATATTAGGAAGGGTTACAAACATCAAATGACTCTATTCTTATTAGTAATTCATTTTCTTTTACTCCCAAAGCCATAGACAAGAAGAAAATAAATTAATTTAAACTGTGGTAAAGAAAAAGACACCGAATGTTGCTGTCTAGTTCATATTAATGTAATGTGCTCTACACAATGTATCCTTGTGTCATCCTAAAATCTGAATGGTATTTCATAATGTACTTATATACTTAGAGAATTCATCTAGAAACTCGATCAATCATTTAATTGCATAAACATAGGTATAGTCATAATTATTCTCTTTTCTTTAAAGTAATTTCAAATGTCGCGTGCATTAGATTTTTGTTAGTAGCGACAACGTATCTATCGAAACATTAGTTTGTCATTAATCTAGAGAGGACAGAGTAGTAATAAAATATTTACTGACATTACAGGCGCCATAGCCAGGCGAGTGGTAAGTACAGATCTCTATGTGTGGCTCGACAGGGGGCGCGTTCATGTTCCACTGGGCGCTGGCTGCTTGTACTTCTTCTATGCAGCGCTGGCCGTCGATCGTTGGTACGTTCAATTCTAAGAGAACAGCCGATAGGGCTGCGCCTTGCTGAAAAATAAAGTATAGATAGTTGAAACATATTATTGCTAAAGACAATTAATGTGGATGATACTGAGGAGAAAAGAATGAAATTAAAAGATAATATTAGACAGAAAGGAACCGAGATATGGAAAAACAAAAGCAAATACACATAATTCAACACATTTTCTCTACAATTTTTCTACGTTTTCTGTCGTTAAATATGCAACACATTGGTAACAGAATTGATGTATTCCTAAAATAATTACTATTACATAAAATATAATTCTGTTGATTTTGTTAAAAATATACAATTTTCTCTTATGAACATTTTGCTTTTAATATCACTTTTTTATTTTTATATTTACATGGCACTTAATATGAATGTAAAAATATTTGAAATATATTTTTGTGTAATTGAATTATTTAAAAAAAAAATATTATAATTTTCTAATGTTGAAAAACGATATAGATTACATCGTTTTCTCAATTTCTTTAGGTTGTGCACAATAACTATGTCTAAAATGAAATAGAAGATCTATAAGGATGTTTCCCTAAAATTTATTTCCCAAAATATATTTAACAAAATGACAGGACATTCTGTAAAGACTAAAAAAACTATTATCAAATCCAGCCTCTCATGGAAGTCCTAAGTGGCAAATGAATCCATAGATAAATACATTTTCTTTGACACATTCATGAGAGAGAATAAAATGCCAGCCAGCACTGCCTCCTAGCTATGGACCCAATAGCGATAACGTGTCTACTGATATATTCACTTGCTATTTGTTTAGGGGGGCTTAAATGTTAACGAATCGTCTTATTTTACTACTAATACTTGTCAAGAGATTCTAGGCCACCTTCCTCTTACTAATGTAATAAAATTATAACTGAATGATATAAGACTAAGAGAGCTTATGGTGGGGAGATGGACAGCAGCGTCCCTCTTAAAACATCACCAAAAGCCAAATCGCGGTTGCCAACCTGCAAACCATGGCAACTACTAGCAAAACCTCCCTTATGGGGGCAGGCTATCCTGAGCAGTGGACAGTTAAAGGCTGATACAGTTTATTCATTAAACGAATTAATCTATTAATTATTAAACGACCAATTCTTACCGCAATTCTGCCCCAGCCGGCGACTCGGGCCTGCACGTCGCCGGGTTGGAAGTCGAAATTCAGCGGCAGCACGACCACCGTATTAGATAGTGCGACGTCTGTTGTGGTGATTAGGAGCCCGATGTCATTCTTGATGGTCGAAGACACGTAGTTAGAATGAGTTACGTTACGCTCGATGGCGTATGCAGTGCCGCCGTAGTTCCAATATGTTGTGCCGACTACTACCCGGAGATTGCTGTAATTTGTCAACATTTCATATTATTATTATAAGACATAGATATGAGATATGTATATTTAGTAGATATGGTATTTGCAAACAAAGAGAGAATCCAATTTTTGGATTCTCTCTTTGTCTGCAAATACCATATCGAGTCGTTTAATCCAAAACTACGTCACATTTTCTTTCACCCGTTAACTGTCCACTGCTAAACATAAGCCTTCCCCATAAGAGGAGTTTTGCTAGTAGTTGCCACGTTTGGCAGGCGGGTTGGCAACTGCAGTTAGGCTTTTAGATATGTTTTAAGAGGGACACTGCTGCTCATCACTCGCTCTTCCTTAAATCGCCTCTTACGACACCCACGGGAAGGGAAGGGGTGGCCCATTCAATGCCGGGCATATACGTCACATTAAATCTGATATACAGATTATAATGAGCTACTTAAAATTAAAACACATGTTGCAAAATTTGCGTAAACGAAATGGCGATCGAAAATTGATGGGTTACATGAAAGGTTGTAGAATTTTCGGTAATAATAATAGTAGTAAATTTTTGAGTGTTGGCAGTCACACGCATGCTAATGGTCACTAAATTAAACAAAGTAATTTCAATCAATAATATTAGATTAATGGGTGAAAATGGAATTGTAAACGAATGAATGAAATGGAAAGTGAAATTACAAATTTAGTACAGGGTCATCATAGTTCCATTAAAAAGTAATCATTAAAATCGGTCTACATTTGTCGAAAAGGTTCCATTTAAAACTGGGACCTTCGTTCTTTGTGAATTAATTCTCTATTTGCATTGATTACTTATTACAATAATAGGTAAATACATAAATAATTATGTCTTATGTATTTACCTACGACACATTTGTAGTTGCACCGAAATTTCCTAAGAATGAATAGTTTAATATTAGTTATGTGCAAGTAATTTGCTATTCATTACCTGTTAAGTGCACCACCGGAGAAGACAGCGTTGATACAGTGCGCAGCTGTGAGTACAGTCCTCACGGAGACCAGGGAGCCGCCGCAGACCAAACTGCGGACCGACACGCCGGTGGTCAGTGCCACCATGTGCCTGTGACGGCTCTGAGGCGCCTGGGTCCCGCCGACGATGCGCGCCTCCGGGTCCATTTGGTTGAAGAAAATCGACATGTCTTCTTCGGGTTTCGGGGCGGCTGCATATTATTATGAAATATTTTTAAATATATGTCAGAGGAGTGGCGCCATCTGGCGTATCAAATCTACTGTCTCCAAAAGTTATGGGAACGTAATGTGATATGAGAAAGAGTAGATGGTAGAATCGATATACCATTGTGAATTCGAATTCGTTTTTAAATTCCGCACAAAGGTTGGATGGACAGTCACAAATTTATTTGTATTTAACAGATAAGTTCATGATATAATGGGAGTCATGCAACAGGCGTGCGACTCAAACGCTACCAGTGTGCGAGACGTATGCTTTTACTGAAATGTCTGTTACTGGTAAACCCTGATTGATAAAGGGAACATTAACCCGCCAACGCAGTTATTACTTTAAAACCACGGAAGTATTACTTCTACCTGGATTTTTTATTAATATGGTATCACCTAAATGACGAAGGGAATGTATAAAACTGAAAATGTAGATAGTAAAACAAAATACAAATCAAATATAAATTCCAAATAGTCGCCAACATTGCCTACAAAGAAGCAGCGCGTTAGGGATAGGCCAGGAAACGTGCATTCTAATTGGAGATAAACTACCTGATAACAATAATACAGGTACTACTACATCAGCAAATAAAAAATTTGGTATATCTTATATTGCTTCTATTGTGAAAGCCAGCATTACACTAGGTCACAATTCTATTTAAAAAAAATAATATATTTAAAAAATAATACAATATAATTACCTAAGCTCCCAATAAGGAGCATTAAGAGCACAATCCCCGATTTTAAATCCATTTTTATGTTTTTATTTTTTCGTATAAAAACATTCCAAAGTTATCGAACGTGTGTATTTATACATTCGTTTAATTATAATCTCTCTGATTAAAGTGATAACTGTGATTGATGATGAACAATTAGATTAGATGTGATATAATAATTTATCAATTGAGAGTACTAGTTCGATTCGTTAAAAAGGCAAATGCCTAAATATACTCGACAGATTTAAATAAAACCAGCACTTAATTGCATTTTCTTGCATAATTTTTTCATAGGAATAATGAAGAAGAAATATTTAAATTTAATTTTATTAATAATTATCTTTTAGCGATAAGGCCGTCAATTGTTTTCTCATTGTGATCATTTCTTATAAATGTTTGTATCTATAAGTTTACTATTTTTTTTTAACAATAAACTTTTTAACAATAAAGAGTATCTATCTAATAAGAAATATTCAAGGATATGGCTCGATCGATTCAGAAATATATTTTTAAAAACAAAACGAGTATTTTTAGACACGTATTAGTACTAAAATAATCTTAAATAAGTACTGAAGTTTAAGGTTAAACATGAAAAGAAGTCTAGGCTCTGAACTGCAAGTGATGTCTAAAACTCTACATAAAGATTAATAAATAAACAGTGCCTTACCTTTGCGGATATTATTTCTTCAAATCTGTTATAACAAATTGATCTAAGCCAGTACATCTTCGCAATAATCAACGTTCGTTCGGTGTCTGGAGTCTCCTAAATGATTGGTTAATCATCATATTAGCTTTTAAACATCCACTGCTGAACATAAGCCTCCTCTTGGGGGGTTTGCCAGTAGTTGCAGACGGATTAGCAACCGCAGTAAGGCTTTAGAAATGTTTTACGAGGGAGGCTGCTGTCCATCCCCCGCCCTCCCTTAATCGCTTCTTACGACACCTACGGAAAAGAAAGGGATCTATGCCAGAACCTGTACGGCTAGGTGAATAATGAGTAATAGATGTATACTTTATAATTAAATTATGGTCGAGGAATGAGCAGCAGCGTCCCTCATAAAAAATCACTAAAAGCCAAACTGCCGTTGCCAACCCGCCTGCCAAGTATGGCAACTACTGGCAAACCCCCCATTTGGAGAAGGCTATATTCTGCAGTGGACAGTTAACTGCTGATTCAAACTCATTATTTGGATTTTCCAAAGTAAGTCCAGGAAATAAACTAATCGATTGAATCAAGGTACGGTATACAAAAACACCGTACCTTATTTATATTTTTATCAGTAGACAGAAGCAAATTATCGACATTTCAAATTAATAATCTTGTATAATTGATAGCTAATTAATATTATCGATGTCTGGTTTTTACGCTGAGTACTATGTTGAAAATATATAATAGGTATACAGTCATACATGCAACGATACATAAACATTAGAACTTTATCGCAATGAATAAATGATTTGTGACAACATCTAAAGTCCATCGTACAAATAAATACAAAAAAAAAAAAATATGCACTTTAGTATTTATTATGGTTATACAAATATTTATTGAATATTTTTTAAACATTTACATCGCTTTAGAAATAGACTTAAATACTTATAATTCTATAGAGGTGTCTCTTTATGTAAATTTATATTTTTTAATAGAATTTAATAGAAAATTATACTTTAAAGGTATTTAAATAAAAAAAATACTTCATTATAATTTGGTTTATTTTGTTTTGATACGATTAATGCAAAATATCACATTGCTCGATTGATACTTAACTTTTTCTTTTTAAAATTATTAATTAGTTTTTACAAATTCTAGAAAAAGATCAAGTTGTTTATATCAAAAATGAGGGATGTTTTCGGAATGCAACCTACAAGCAAAATGTGCATACATGATAACGAATCTGAGATATATGTTCGTAGATAGAAAGATAGGTTTTCTTTTATTGGTAGAAAATGGAACCGTAACCCCACCTGCGCTAACGGGATACGCTGGCGGGGCACCAGTGAAGGGTGATCGATGAGGATGAAAACAGGCTCCCATCATGATATATGTTGGGTATATTGCTAGCAATGGGATTCTCAATCTCCATTACTAACAATCCCTTTCCCCCCAGAAAGATAGGTTTTCAAGGTTATAAAGATGTCGTCTTGGCTCTGGCTATTTGGACTCTTATACAAAACCACAATTATGGCGTGGAAAAAGAACAAGTGTAATGATTTTGGCTAATTAAAAAAAAATTCACCGTTAAAACTTTTTTTTTTACTTTGTGTCTACTCGTATCTTCTTATAATTAGCTAAAAGACGCAAACATTTGACGCAGATGGCGTATCTTATATACGTTTATAATTCAGTCACAGTTATAATATTTGAATCAACACTAATAGAACTAATTGTGGGGATTGTTAGTTATTTGGTCTAATAGCGTCATTGCTAGTAATATACCCTATCAGGTCGACTTCCACACGGTTCTCACTGGAAACTATCGCAGTTTATTCTTGTGGATTCTGTCACGATGGGTCAAATGACCTGTCTTCATCCTCATCTATCAACCCTCACTGATACCCCAGCCAGTGTATACAGTTAGCGCAGGCGGAGATACCACGCCATTGTCATATATATTTTTGGGGTCTTTAAACCAGTTTAAATACGCGTTTCGTTTTACGCATATAAAATATACCATTTGCGATAAATTAAAAAATGGACAATGGTGGGATATTCCCGTCGTATGAAAAACTCTTAATTCTAACCACTAAAGCATTTTCACATTAATTTAAATCGTACATACAATCAAATATCTTTACAAATAAACAAATACAACACACATTAATTATTTATTAATTGAACAGAATAAAAAAAAACTCTTTGGAATCGTCATAATGTCATAGACAAAGTACAAAGTAAAGGCTATTAAATACTCCATTCAACCGATTGTGAATATAATTAAATAGATTGCCCTTGAAAAGGTTAATTCGATAATAACCTATCTAATCTCTTTTTATGTATCATAATTTTAGATACAAGGTAATAAGTATTGTTTTATTTTACGTAGTGTAATAACATTGAAAATTATACTTTATATACTTCAAGACACGATCGCGAAAGTTATTTATATGTTTAGTACTAAGTATTAATACAGTTTATTATATTAAATGTATATATTGTATATACTAGCATGTTATAGCAAACTTTTTATAATTTTTTTTGTGATCGATATTTTATCAATAAATCATGCTTAATGTTTTAGATAATTTTTGACAGTGTACGTAGATACGTCCAAAACAGAATTCCAATGGGTGCTTATACTACTTATTTTAAGTGTAATAACTCAGTTTATATACAACACATTCAATATTGTTATGTTCCATGCTCATACACCTTTTTTTTCTTTTCTGATAACTACTCTATGTAGGAATTAGTGAAAATTTGAATATAATCGATTTAGTACTTTTTAAAATGTACATTTATATATTCATTTATGTATATATATTTCTATATTTATTTAAAAAGAAAGGAGAGTTTCGTGCCTCCAGTCAAACTCTTCAAGGATCGCCTGGAAGAGATCACTCTTAGCTGTAAGACCACTCATTGTTGTCTCAGTGTAATATTTTCTTGTAATTGTTTGTATTTATAATAAGTTTATTATTGTTGCACGGGCTTTTTAATGACCATGTAATTTTAGAAATAGTACAATTAAATAAATACACATAATGTTAAGAGATTTAAAAGAGTAACTGTTGAAATTCTTGCGGGCTCTTCTCAACAATAACAACTTTCCGAACCCTGTAGTAGATTTAAAAAAAAAAAGAAGACAATTTAAAAGTGCTTGTAAACAAGTCTATTTGAAAAAAGATGATTTGAATTTGTAATCTTTATTTCTTATTATACTTTTGTAATAAGAAGCTTAAGCAGCTATTTGGTATAAAGTGTAACGGTTATCATTAAGGTAATAAACAATATATTACAGATTTTTTTTTATAGATAAATCTTCTCTCGTAAACGTGCTATGTATTATTACTTAACCTAATCTTCATCTGCTTGTCTATCAATAACAGAAATAGCGTTATAGGTGATATTTTTAAATAGTACAATGCAGAATAGCTTTGTTAATTTCTGAACCTTATTATTGATAATGCTGCTGTAGTTTTCAATAGTATTGTTTCTTATTATGTATTTCCTTCACCTGTATTGTATGTATTTGTTCTAACTTTATTGGCTAATAAATTATTTATTTAATTGTGTAATTGTCACATGTTGTTAGCCTTAAATAAATAAAGGCTATTATTTTTAGTGCTGTTTTTTATAATAGATATGAATTATTATTATTATTATTGAAAGATGTGATTTTTTCAGGCAGAAAAGTTTGTGACACTGCGATATTTACATGATCTTTTATGCTCGCTTTTTTTTATAATTACTGCTAACAGACATGAAACTAGTTTGTAAATTATGCAGTGATTGGGTAACTCACGTTGACACACAACATATTGATCGCAAGGATTTTACATTGGACATCTATAAAACGTATGCAATATAATTTTCATTATTCAATTATTATATAAAAGTAATAAATCTATTCAGAATATCAAATTTAAATATATTTTTAGTTTATAATATATATAACTTATACATTAAATATGCCCCTTATTTTATAAACATATTGTTCCGCAGAATATTTTTATTATATATTTATTAATATAATATCAATATTATTGTATACATAAACTCCATAAAAGTTACTTTTCTTATAAAACTGTATATATGATATAATCTTAAAGTTTACGAAAGTATTTTTATAATTATCCTTGTATTCATTTTGTACAAAACAAATAAAATTAATATCTCATCATTCAAATAACATATTTCAAGTATTACATTTGCTAATTTAAACTCTGAATTGTGAATTGTTTAATTCTTACTAATATTATAAATGTGAGTTTGTTTGTTACCTCTTAGCGCCTGAATGGCTTAACCAATTACTATGAAATTCAGTATACACATACTATATGGGATAGAGAATATATGGCTACTTTTAATCCTGGTTAAACAACATTATCCTGGTGCACGTAGATGAACTCGCGGGTAAAAGCTAGTAACACTATAACAGACAACAAATGTTATTTCTAACACCAATCATGAACACAGTCTCCGTGACACCTAGAACGCGTCACATAACCTCTCGACAGGGACCTCAATCATCTAAGCAGCGCTTCAATTTTATTTATAGCATCCGCGCTCAAATTATGCTGCTCGAGACCGAGCAATACTTCTAATTCGTTATCACTAACAAAACTGTTCAGTACACCTTTCGGCAAATCATTATATACGAGGAAAGCACTCAATATCTTCTTCGTTTCTTCGTCGCAGGCATTAATTTTTCTACTGCTCGGCAACCCTAAATACTTTCTCAGGTACGGCGTTATTTTATCTTCCCAACTGTCGAGTATGCTGGCAACTTTCTGTTTGATGGCTAATGTAAACTCTGTTGATATTAGCGGCTCGTTTAACACGTCTTGTCCGTCCACTTTCATTTCGTTCATTGTTCTTCTATTGTGATTTTCAACTTGTGATAACAATAGTTTTATTTGCCACATGTGATACGATGACGGATCTGTTTTCATTGTTTTTATAATCTAGAATAGAATAAAATAAATGTAAAGGCAACGATACAAAAATATTTATCCTATTTTATGACTTGATAGTGTAATGTAGACTGTGAGTTCGATCCCCGTACATATTAATATTGATTGAGTATTTTCTATGCATGAAATAAGTCTTTACAATAAAAAAATAAAGTGTGACTATATGTTATCCAGCGCGCGCATAGTACAAACTCTGCTGAGTTTGGAGTTAGATGGCGCTGTGTCCAGTGGTATTTATTTATATATATTATAAGGGCAACACAGCTTAAGTATAACAAGTTCAAATATAAAAAAAAATATATGAAACATTCATTTCATAGAGTTTTTAAAATTAAAGAAACGATGGATTTTCTATATTGAAACAATACATCACTTCCATGGGAGTTATAATGTATATTTAAGTGAATCCAAAGTATTATGTTATGACTTGCTCACAATTCCTAAGTTAGTATCAAACATGAATTATGCTTAAAACTTTAATCTCTGATGGGGTAGTCAGAGATATTTGCTGTCTGTTACAATTGCGGGATAAGTTCACTTGACACGCCTTCCCTCGAGCATATTAGAGGACAATGTGGAGGAAGTGTAACTACCATGCTACCTACGTGTGGGCTTATCTAAAAAAAAATCTTAAAGCAAATCAAATACAGTAATAAACGATGTAGTTAACAACTTAAATTTATATATTATATATATATTATATTTGGTGTAACATATCAATTAACAAATGTGGCAACTACTGACAAAACCTCCAACTTATGAGGGAGGCCTATGTTCAGCAGTGGACAGTTAGCAGCTGATATGATGATATCAAATAAATTGTAAAAATTTAATTATTTTTACACATTTCCATAATACATAAAACCTGTATTTTAATACTCGGTTCTAGTCAGGTAATTATTTTTTTACACAATTACAATGTATTGTTACTATACCTTCAAAAATGTCGTCCATATAGGCAGAGCGCATAGTATGTCTTTGACTACACATTCATAGGTGACCATACTAAGTGCCTGGGCATGCTCTTGGTCCTCCTTACTGTACTTTCTGCACTGACACTGTCTAGGCATGAACGGCTCGTTTTTAACACCTTTCCGCTTTTTCGATATCAACAAACAGTCTCCACATATGTTTGATTCAATGTTGGTGTCTTTTATTAAATAATGTTTAATAAAGTTCTGGATTTGTTCGTCGTTTGAGAATAAGTCTATGTTTTCAGGTGTCGCCGACCAAATGTTGGACTTGTCGAGTGTTAATGTTTGAGCCAATATGGTGAGGAAGCCTTGAGGGTCATCTAGGTATGACAGACATCCGGCGCGTTGCTTTATATCAATACACCATGTATAATCAAGGAATGTCCTGTAACATATAAGTACTTTTAAGAATTACGTGAATTAATTGAATTATTTATATATTTATTTATTTGTTATTAAAAAATGTAGTCATCCTAGTTTCATCTTTTATATATTATGATACCACACTGACAGTAACAAAGAACACGATTCTGGATGTTGCTGTCTTGTTCTCACACTTGCAATAGAGATAATGTTTCTATCTATAGATTCGTTTACGATTTGTCTATCTGTCGAGAGTTGAACTATTTGTTCGAATTTTGTTATGAAATTACAAAATTATAATAACTTAATTGATAGCTTCTAATTCAATGAAAATCAAGACAAAATTGATATGATTCTAATATCAAATCCTTCAGATTAAAAATAATTATTCAGATGAGGTTTATAACTGAAGATATAGCATAAAAAATAGGTACACAAAAATTAACAAACTTTTTTTAAACAGATTAAATATTTAAAAATACTCACTTCAACATATCCCAGTTGCGGTCTCTCTGGAACGTTATAGGCCAGTATCTCGGGTCATTGATTTTGACCTCTTTCAGTTTATCTAACTCAGGTATAATACACGGCGCCTTCATTTCCTTTACAGCGCCTTCGAGGTCTATTACCTAGTAATAAGACAATATTACGACGCTAAGTCTCTTATGAAGTAATCAGAGAGAGCGAAAGAAAGAAAGTATATAGATAGGTGCTACAGTATATTCTGTGATGTTCACATATAAGCAGTTACTACTTTACATCAGACACTATCGCCCCCATTGGAAATATATGATATAATAAACTGCATACTATTTAAGAATACAGGAACCAGTTTGCTCGAAATTAATTGTTTAAGTTGATGAAGTAAGAAACCTAAAATCTTTTTACACTAGAGGGCGCTTAAAAGTAATTAGTGAATCAAGGTGTCATACCTGTATGTGAGCGTAGCATAGTTTCCCGGTACTAAGATCACGCGGCAATATTAGTCTAGCTTCAACTGCTAACACATATAAATGCCTGAAGGCTTGTAGATGGTATCTGCAAGAATTAAAACCTTTATAGATTTTTTCTTACGTATTCTTACTATTATTGTGATTACGATAATGGGTTTATTTGTTTGCCTATTTGTTATTTCTTAATGCCTTAATAGTTCAACTGATCATTAATGAAAGTTAGTATATTTACGATATTGTGTTCGTATGGTCAATCAACAAGTTTAAATCGCGCAAATGAAGTTATCTGTTATGCATGTTAATGAAAACATTGTTTACCTGTTGTCCTCACTATGTGTAGGGAACTTGGGGAAAAAGGCGGCTACCAAAGCCGCTATTGCAGTGGGTGTCGTGCTTAATGTAGCCCGACCTCCTCCCAAAAATAATAGTCCAATAGTGCAATGAACTGCCATCTGGAAAAATACATTTTTATTTGTAAGAAAATTTCTATTCGGAATAACAAACAAATTGACGACCTACATATGGAATATAAAAATAAATAAATAAATTAGAATGAGGATGTTTTATGTGTCTTCTTAATTTGTTAGACAGTGACAAAACACTCTATAATAGTTAAAACAGGTTTGCAGAACATTTTAGTTTTTTTTTTTATGAACTAGCACGCGAGAATAGAATGGAGATGTGGATTTAAATCATAGTGGATTCAGTTACTTGTTTTTTTTCACTCTACTAATTAATTTTGGATAACTAAATGCAGGGTTATACATTAAAAACATATCTCAATACAAGTTCTTAATTTATCCATCTATATATTTTTAAGATATATCCATAGACGTAGTACAATATACTTACATATCAGAAGATTGGAAATGCTACTATATAAACGAGGCAAAAAAATAACAAATGTAGAAATTCATTATAATTAAGATATATTTTCGTCAAATTCGTGTATAAAATTTTTCTGATGGTTATATGATATTGCTTTTAAAAATATAAATATTAAAAAACATAATTATGTGAAAAATGTGATTTTTTTTATTATTTAAGTTATGTAGTTAGGTAGACTGTGAACAGCACACTTAATTCTAGCTAGATTCATTATATCAACATCATCATATTAGATGTTAATTGTCCACTGCTGAATAAAGGCCTCCCCCTATTGGAGGGTATCGCCAGTAGTTGCCATGCTTGACAGACAGGTTGGCTAACTAGATTAACTAGATCCATTAAACTAATTGACCTTAAAATAGTAAAAATAATCAGCATGTATTTATTTTTTTCAAACATGCTTGGAAATGTAAGATTTATTTTGACAATCTTCCTCGAGATAAATCAAAATTGCCGTACAATACATGCGGGCAGCGGCCGGCAAAAGTTGTATGAAAATCCATATCTGTCGTATTTTGCGGTCAGATAAATTACTATGTAAACTCATATCTGTCCTTTAATTTAAAAATGGAATGACCTTTTACTTCGATACATGGCTACCAAGGAGGTAACTAATAAAAGGTTTTATTTAAATTTCGAACTGGCTTGCAAATAGAAAGCTGTTTATTGAAAAAAAAAACAAAGGAACATTATGGCACGTGAAAAATTATTATTGTTCGTTATTCGTCATTGAACTTAAAAAGTAAAATTGTGTTTTTGATTTCCGCGTATTGTTTGAGAAAAATATTATAGCCTTGGCCACAACTAGGCATTGATGGACTCACGTATGTGTGCCTCGGCTACGCCTCGGCCCACATTTGCACGTTCGTCCATCAATGCTGGCCGCTGCAGTAATGTAGTATTGTCCATGTTCTCGCGCGCGTACCTGTCCGCCGTGCGTGAGCGCGGGCGCGGCGGCGGCGCGCGGCGCGGGCGCGGCGGCGGGCAGGCGCGCGCGCAGCCGCCGGCACACGCGCAGCACGCACACGTCGCCGCGACCCGCCATTATCTGCGCCACAACGCTCACATCATTATCATCGTTACACACCCTCCATCCACAGGGGGACAGGGATTGTTAGTAATGAGATTTAACAAGTTTAATACTTGATTCTCCCTGGATACCATAGTGGTTAATTCTTGTTCAATTGGTCAATATGGGCTAACTGACCTGCCTTCATCCTCACCTGTCACCCTTCACTGGTACCCCGCCAGCGTATTTCACCAGCGTACAGCGACAGCGTATAGCGCAGGTGGGGCTACTATTCCATCTTCACTCATTAAAATAAAAAACCCTCCATCGATCGGGGAGAAGTGTTATTAATAATGTGTATCTGCGCAGGAGGTGTTACTATCCTATGATCATGCATTAAAAAAACCGTCTATCGTCCATACCCTCCTCCCATTTCATCAAAATAGTACGATTCTACGCCATTTACATTCAGGGATTTTCTACAATACTTTTTTTTTATGCAACAGTAGCAAACAAGCTGACTGCCCACTTGATGGAAAGTCGTAAAGGTCACCTGTAGACATGAACAGTACCAGATAAATAACACAGTACACTTGACATTGTCATTTCATTTAAGGACGTGAAAGGAGAAAGAAGTGGGTTGCTCTACCCCGCTTGCCTGCACCCTCTCGAAAACCATTTTCCCCCTTCGAATTCGAATTCGCCAAACTACTTATCATTATTGTCACAAGAGAATCAATTCTTGGCTATATATTCTTATGATATTTCTAACAGAAACCGCCTATTAAAAGTTATATATCATAATTATTCCTTATTATTTAACACATAAAAAGTACTAACTACCAGCTTAAGTAAAGAAGTGTGGACTGACCATGCCAGCGGCGAGTAGACACACACAGAGGCAGGTTTCAAGCGTGGACCGTCCGGCCAGTTCAGCGATACTCTTGCCAGAGAGCGTGAGGAACAGTCGCGCGAAGTGTAGTACGGCGTCGCGCGCGTCCTCGTCGCCCGAACCCGCGAACCGCAGTCCCATCGCGAAGCACGCGCCCGCTATTATGTTGCAGTACGCCTGGCTGTACACCGCACACAAACACACGTTAGTATTCTCTCATCTATATCTATACTCATATTATAAATAGGAAAGATTTGATTATTTGTTTCATCATTATATCAGCCGTTGACTGCCCATTGTTAAACCATTCCCCATTAGAGGAGTCCCACCCAATGGGGTGGACTTTCCCGTAGGTGTTGTAAGAGTTAGTAAAATTATCTGATATAGTTTCAGATGGGTGTCACAGAAATTTCATCAAAATCAATACAGTTTATAAATTAAAACTGGTTCTGAACAATTGAAGTTTTTTTTTTTTTTTTTTGTGAAACACAATTATACTTACTTAATATGAAATAAACACATAAACAGTATACATATTATATATAAATAAAGTTATTTTATGTTCGGTAGCAGAGCACTTTTTAAATGATCAATCAAGATTATTAAGAAATATTGAAAAATGTTTAATTGTTTTTTATAGCAATGTTGCCACACAAATTTAATGAACACTATTTATTTAAATTTTTAACCTATTACAGTTTGAACTAATGCCGACCTAACAATAATTTATTTTTCGAGGTTCCTTATGGGGTAGAAAAACTTATCCTAATGTTGAAGGCAAATAAATCAAATAGCTGTAGTCATAATGATTATCATTTTATAAAGCAGAAACTTACTTCATAGCTTCATAATCTATGCTATCGTCTGTTGGTTTGACAAAGCAATAAGGTTTTATGGTTGACGGTACTTGATCTTCGATCCATTCTTCACTTGCTTCAATACTATCCCATAAGACGAGGCCTGCAACACATCATTGGATAAACAATTAAAATTGCATTCTGAATTAGGCACTAGGATAATAAAAATATTTTAAAATACTTATACTTAAATTTACTTAATTAAAAAAATAAAATAAAGAAAGGTGTAGTAGGTATAGATTACAAGTAGATAAGTGAAAAGTTGCCGTATGATCCCGGCATAGAATAGGCCACCCCTTCCTTTCCTGTAGGTGTTGTAAGAAGCGACTAAGGGAGAGCGAGAGATGGACAGTAGCGCCCTTCTTAAAACAAATCCAAAGCCTAATTGCAGCCAATTCACCTGCCCAGCATAGCAACAACTGGCAAAACCTCTCAAGGAGGAGGCTTATGATCAGCAGTGGACAGTTAAAGACTGAAAAGAGATATTAGATCACTGGCCTCTAACTATCATTCTCAACATAACCACATGCGGACACGCGCAGTTAAATTGGTACATGATGTATAGTGATTACAGTAAGGTATCGAGTGTGACACAGTTGGAGTGCTAGTAGATACAAAGGAATAAGACAGCGAGGAATCGAGTACAATATAATTGGAGTGCAAGTAGAAAAATAAGAATAGAGTGTTAGAGAAAAAGAGAGTATAGGGTTAGCGACCTCTAGCTATAATCCTCAGCATGAGCAGATCCGGGCGCACGAAGTCGAGCTGGTAGGCAGTACGTGGCGACTGTAACCACGAGGCGGGCGCAGCACAGTTGGATCGCAGGTAGATGAGCCCTAGCGCCAGTGTAGCGCCTGGTGACGTCACATCCAAATTCACTGTTGCCCCCTCACGGATTGCGAATGATCCCTGCTTGTATTTCTCTTTTTGAGCGCCTAAAACATATACAAAATATGCGTGATTTTTAATGTCTTATAAGTAAATAAGCCAAACGTGGATTGTTGATAATCTTATTCTAGACAGTATGAATTGTTGAATGGGTAATTCGTTTGCTCATTTCAGTATTTGGTAACTTTAAAGACATGATGTGAGCGTGATGTAACATAATAATTTCATTTCCGTTTTTATATTACACTTTTTTGTTATTATATCCCAAGTAATTTCATTTCCAGTATATAGTAATAAACGAGTTTTCTTTAATGGATAACAATGGATGCTAACGGCTAACGGTATACGTTGGTGGGGTAACACTGAGGAATGACAAATGAGATGAAAAGTCAGTTAGCCCATTCAGAGGGAACCGCGTGGAGGTCAACCTGACAGAGCATATTACTAGCAATGGAACTGGTAATCCGCATTACCGACAACACCTTGCTCCCGGTAAGAAACGAGTAAGGTAGCAAAATCCTAAAAACTATGCAAGAGATGAAAAGTCGAAATAAAATAAAGAATTAGAAATAAAGAATTACCAGTGAGCGGCAGTTTGTCCCCGCCGAGCATGTACGTGCGCAGGCGCTGTGCGATGTGCTCGGGCGCCTGGTGTCCGGAGCGGACGCACACGAAACCTAGCGCTAGCCCCGCCGCTAAAGCGTAACCCTCGCGTTCCACGCAGTTCTCCATTTCAGGACCCGGTGGTTTACCTAGATGGGATAATAAAAAATATTTCTAAAGAGTAGAAAGTGCAGGCCAGACACTGTATATCTATTTATAATATAATAAATATTCAGTGAAACTGAGAAAAAATTCTGGAAAAATGTTAAAGCTTAATTTTTGTTTTTCCGATTTATTCTGGTAACGGTAAGATGCTAAAGAACAATTTCCGGATAAGCTAGTTACATAATATAAAAATATGAAATTCGACTTAAACTTATTTGCTACAAATAATGTGATAAATTCGATTTTTTTTCCAACTCTGATGAAATTCACATATTTTTCTCAAATTTTAAGAAAAACACTTGTAACCGAATTCATCGTATCGAATCAATATAAGCTAGTATAAACGATATGCTTATAACACTAGACCAGGGGTTCCTAAACTTTTAAAATAACGGAACATCCACCAAATACCTTGTATGGAAACCCATATCACATGATTACAAATAAAAAACACTAATTTAGGAAACTCACCTAAGGAATATTTATAGAGGTTTTAAAATGTCTTACCAATTTCGTTAAGCAGCACTTGCGCATAATGTGTATGGCCTGTGTTTTGGTATATAAGGCCGACACCTAGCAATGCCGCCACGAGAATATTCTGCTGGATGTCAAGTTCGATGGATGTTGGCGGTAGCAATGGCTCTAAATGGATACTCATCATTTTTGTCGCTTGCACATCCATAGTCCCTGAGAAAAACACGAAAAAAAAAATGTTTGAATGGGAATGAAATATGTATCTCAAAGTAACTGAGATTGCTCTGAAAATTTAGCCTTTAATGATTAGAAAAATTTCTGATGCTTTGTCACAATATATTAAGTTAATAGGAATTTTAAATTGAATTGGTACTTTAGTACTATTATTAGATCAAATCTAGATTAAGAGTCATGATGATATTTTTTTTTATTATACATAGTACTGTATGAGATATAACCTCTATATGTAGCAGCAAGTCCCAGTAGTAATCCTATGCTGATCATCTCATGACATTTGACTAAATACTCGTACATGTTCATGAACGGCATATCCTTCAAGTGGCCGTTGAGGCCCAGCGCCATTAGGAAACCGGCATGTTCTGTTGACATTTCTGTTGCACCCTGTTTAGTGAAAATATCTGTCAATTCATTTGATATTATAAACTGTATTATAAACAAGATCAGATAGATTTATAAAAATGTATCGACAGGTTATTAATTCATGTCCGGCTCGAAGGACCAAAATGCATGTAAAGGTTGTGGTGGTGTGAAAATACAAAGATCAAAGAATATGACAGTAAACAAATCAATACAAGTATGCAAAGATAGAAGCTGATGGCAATAATTTTTTTCTATCTAACTAGTGCGGAGAAACGATTTAGAATGATAATAGTTAGTTACCCTTGGCTTGTTGTAAATGATCCAACTGGAGTCGATGCTGGCGCCGGTCATGGGCACAAGCGCGAGGCCAGCGGCGACCCCGTTGTGGAAGGCGGGCCACAGTAGCGAGTGCGGCGACGGCTCCGTGATCGGCAGGTTGATGGGCGGACAGCGCGGCGGCGGCCCGCGCCCCGCCACGCACAGCCGCGGCACGCTCAGCGGCTCGGTGGGTGCACACGGCGCCGTGCGGACCGTCACCATGCCCCTGCACACACACGCACGCGCACGCCGCGCTACACTATTGTACTGTATTGTATTCTACTCTCACACAGCCGCGGCACGCTCAGCGGCTCGGTGGGTGCACACGGCGCCGTGCGGACCGTCACCATGCCCCTGCACACACACGCACGCGCACGCCGCGCTACACTATTGTACTGTATTGTATTCTACTCTCACACAGCCGCGGCACGCTCAGCGGCTCGGTGGGTGCACACGGCGCCGTGCGGACCGTCACCATGCCCCTGCACACACACGCACGCGCAAGCCGAGCTACACTACTGTACTGTACTGTACTCTCACAAAGTCGCGGCACGCTCAGCGACTCGATAGGCACGCAATGTAATAATTAAAAAAAATATTCTTTCTCCTTCCAAGTTCGCAAGTTGACTGGAAGAAATCCCTTTAAGAGATTAGTCAGCTAGTGAACACTTTTGTTATAATCTATTTATTAAATGTAAATATCCAAAATCATATAAATAAATAAAATTGTTTTATAATACATACCTCGCAATTGGTAGAGCCATTGTACGCGTGCTAATTGCAAAAAGATATTTCTCTTGTTCTTCAATGAAATCGTGATCTGATACTTCTGGTCTTTGCGTCAGATTAATAGTAACTGGTATCGACGATTGCAGCAAATTGAATACTTCTGTCATTCTATACAAAACAAAAATCAAATTATTGTAAAAATATGACCCTCCTTATATTCAATATAGAAAGGTTGGATTAGATGATAACGCAATCGTGGATAGTAGCTACTTCTATATAATGGGCATGATAAAAAAAATATATGTTTAATTTGTAAAAAAATATTTAATTTACCTGTGATCCCTTGGGTAAAGTAAAGCCAGGAGCCTCGAGTTTAGATGTTCCATACCAGTTATTGAATCATTTTCTTCACTCTTGGTATTTGCATGTTCTTCCATGCTGTTGCTGTTCAAGGAATATGCTGTCTCTTTCTCAAGCACTTCTAATGCTAAAGCTAGAGGAAAGTTTGAATAATGTAAATTATTATTTCGTCTAGAATCCCAAGGATATCCTCGCAATCCATTTCCACAGAATTATTTATATGTAAAACTATAATTTTTAGCACATATGTTTTACATATCTACACTATGTGCCCAAGATTCAACCTTTTTTTAAATAAAATATAGTAAATTAGCTGATTTTTTTTTAAATTGATTATGTAGTTTTTGAGTTTACTCATTACAAATAAACAATGTAATAAACAGGTATAAAATTTAGTGTTAAAAATTGTCTATATATCTGTCAATATGGGTAAAAATATAAAATTGAATTAGTCATAAATATGTTCTACTCACTCTCCATATATTCTGATGTTGATTTAATAGTGTCAGCAATTTCAGATTGTAAACACAAATCCTCCCTCATCACGAGCTTGAAAGCCTCTCGCGGCCAGTCCACAGGTGGTTCACTTTTGCACCGACTGAATATTGTTAACATCACTAGACCGATAGCAGGAGGTAAATTGTCTATGTCCCGTAAAGTTATACCTGAGTAACAGAAAAGTACCAATCTATCACATATCTTATATGTATCTACATATATGTTATACATATACATAAATGTTTCAGAACCTCTTGTATCTATACAAGATGTTATGTTAAAATATGGCACACACACATATAGTCTGTGTAAAAGGACCAGTTTAAGAAACGATAAATCATTGAATGAAACTTGTCATTTCATTTGCGCAAAGCAACATAATGGCCATTGTCACATTACTGGTCAATACAGTTCACAGGCAAACAAAATTGGCACTTAGTTGTCTGTCTACCTCACAAGGAACCTTGAGAAGATACGAAGATAGATGTTTACCTCTGTCGCATACAATTCGCACAGCTTGGCAGTGCGGAGAAACACGCTGTCCACAGTCGCGCCGAGTGCGCGGTGTGCTACACGCTGCCATCGATTCGCGCCCTGACATCGTTTGTACACCCGCATTGCGGCCGCACTCCACTACCGTCAGCACCTGTAGCCAGTATTCAATCATCATTATCATAATTGAAAAATATGATGGAAAAATATATATCAAAATCAGATCGTAATTCGTATGTTTAGACGTCTTGTGACAAGCGTGTGTAACGTGTTATCAATTATATCAGCCTTTAACTGACCACTGTTGAACATAAGTCTCCCCTATGGAGGGTTTTGCCAGTAGTTGCCACGCTTGGCACGCGGATTGGCAACCGTAGTTAGCCTTAGGAGAAGTTTTAAGAGAGACACTGCTGCCCATTCCCCACCCTCCCTTGGTTGACTCTTACGACACCCACAGAAAAGGAAAGGGTAGGCCACCCTGTATTCTGTATGCTGAGACCACACGGCCAACGTAATAACTAGTAATAAATTTCATTACAATAAATTACAAATAAATATTTTTACAGCCACTATATAATATTTAATCATTTAAATAGTTTTTTTTTAACTTCATTCATTAGACAGTTTTTTTAAATTATTTTGTAAAAAGCCTGAGTTAGTTTACTAACCTCAATTATGTCCTTCGACATGTTATTAACGTCGACGAGATATGGGTAATAACCAACATCTATATCCTTTAACATCGAGTTCAAATAACTAAACACATTAGGTGGATCTCGGCTAAAATATGATGGTTGGCTTAGCTTATTCAAGACTTGATCCGACATCTGCGAATCCGATTGATCATAATCGAGATTAAATTCTGTTGGAAAATCTAGCCAATAATGATTGATATAGCTGTCCAATCTTAAATCTTTCGATATTTGATATAAAAAGCTTGATAAGGGCTTCAAATTAGTCCACAGCAGTGTGTTTAATTTTATCTCTTCGTATACCAAATGAAATGCGAATAATACTTGGACAGTATATGGAAAAAGCAATGAATTTATATTGAATTGTGTTGTCTTTTCCATTTCAACATTACTTTTTGATTTGGAATTTCTTGTCTGTCTGCTTTCTGAACTCTGGATCGGATGTAAATGTAACATGGATACTAAGGAATTTCCAATGACTTTATGCATTTTAGTATTCAGCAAATAATCCCAGTCTTCATGTGTCCCATCACTAGAAGTTCTTTGCTTTTTCGTCGCCACTTCTGTGTGTTCGACTTGATCGTCGTTTTGTTTGGTCTGGGTCAACTTTTCGACATCATATCCCATAAGAGAGAAGAGAAGATTGGCAAACATTGACCATTCCTGTTCTGGAGTAAGATCTTGAGTGCCTGGTGCATTGCGAACTCCATACCATTTTATTATGACCTGCAGAAAATAATATCAAATCTCTTTATTGAAACAGTCTTGTTTTTAAGCTCTTTTGAATTATCATCTTTAATTATTCTACTGCTGGGTTCGGAATGCTATTATTTGCTGTGATGAACTCACATAAAACTCAATAACTAATCTTTTAAATAATTTTGTAATATTAACAAAGCATATCTAATCATATCAGTATTTACTGATATGTACTACGTCTAAAAGAACATGGTCATTTAAAACATAGACTTCTTATGAGAAATGTTGATCATGAGATCTCTTTTTAAATTATTATTAAGAAACGTAAAATTAATTATACAAAAATATTTAATGTCTCAACACGGAAGTGATATAATATTAAATTAGAATTTTAATATTCTATCTATAATCGTGTTGCTCAATTTTGGATTTGGACACGTAATACCGACGATAGCAGGCTTGTAATATTAGCTCATAATGAAATATGAAAATTAGAGTGCACTTGTATAATACAAAACAAATAGAACAATTTACCTGCATGGCGATATCCTTGGGCAGTATTGCCCTAAGCGCATCGCAACAGCGTGCTACAAGAGTAGCGCAGGAGAGTACTGGTAGCGAAATGCGGTACAGACCCTCTGCGCCATCAGCGCCAAACTGTAACGTTACACGGGATCCCGCCGCGTCACACAAACCGCTCAATCCTGTACATACACATATATACTAACCTAAAATGTGTTCCATTAACTAAATTATTTAAGAAATAAATAATCTAGAGATAGAGGACCAAGTAGTTCCTCTCTTTTAAGAGATATTATACAAATTGATTGATAGGCGATTGGTTCATGACAGAAGCTTGCAGGATTAGATCAAATTCGTTGTTTCTTTCTTGCAATAGGTAGTAATTTAGGAAGATGATTACCTATTACAAAAAAGGAACAATTTTGTGAGGACATTACTACTCATTCTAATGGAATATTACATATAATTTACATACATATATCTATGAACAGTCAGTTTTATGATAATTTTGACAACAAATAAGACAAAATCTGAATAAGAACTTACCTAAAGTTTCTTTCTGTTCAATCCTAGGAACAGAACTGTGAGGGACCGGTGAGAGGAGATGTAAAGCGGAATCATCAAAGTTCGCATCAGTACAGCGGCTCGGCAACAAACTACTGCGCCTTGGGAATGGCGACTGGAAAGTGGATCGTCTAGTGTAAGGCGAGTCTATTAAACGAGCTAGCACGCCGCCAACATGAACCTAGAATATAGTTTAATTGGTGAATAAAATACTTAAACAATAAGGAAATAAAAATCATAATTTTAAGTTACATACCTTGCCAACAAAATTATTGCCCGATTGTAAAATTATATTACCAGATTCATCAATCAATGCTATCATTTTCAAGTTGTCTAACACCACAGCGTCTTTTGCTAATACTGATGATACGGAACCGACAATGATGTTGTTTTTGGATGACTGTCCATGTGAATGGGATTTCTGTAACCTCATAATTTGAAGTCGGCTGACACCATTCACTTTCACCATGTTACATAAATAATCATGTCCAACTAAATCTGTATGCAGAAATGATTTCAGATCAGATCTACCTTCTATATGATCTCGTCGAATTGATTGACTGTCAGTCCATATATGATCCAAACATATATCAGGGTATAAGGGCAATGACGGTGGTGTCTGAGTCATAGCACTGGGCATCATTGATACAGATGACGCTTGGCCTATAGACGCGTGTGGCGACATGCCTTGTTGATGAAAAATATTTGCCAGAGGGCTATTAACACGAGAATAGGATTGAGTTGGAGTGCTAGGACCCTTCTTAGATTGGTATGGACTACCAATACCAGTAACCCAACTAGTAGCATTTCGACCCACATTGCTATGCATTGGGCTACCCACAAAATCACATGATTGACTGAATACTCCTGTAGAAGCATTTAAATTTGGACACATAATTAAACATTCATCTCGTAATGCTTTGCGAATTTTCCATAATGAGTGAGTACCTAGCTTCCAGTCGTACAAGAGCACGATGCTTGGGTTGGTACTCACAAATATTATTTGTAAATCCCCATCAGTGTAGTATTGCAAACCTTGTGATGACTTCATCAATATAGGAGTTACTTCATCTAATGGATGAGATAAAGAAAAACATGTGGGCAGAGGGACATCTTGTTCATAACCTGATATCGACTCAGCACGTAGTTTTGCACTCATGTTAAATGGAAAGTTTGACTTTGACCTTGAAAAGGTGCTATTATGAGATTCATTAAATTTCATGAAAGAGTTTGCTAATAAAGAATTTTGAATTAATGGGGTTGCTTCCTTTTCTAATAACACACCATATTTCATTGGCCAAACTTTTTTAACTTGAAATGGAATACTGTTTATGTATTCTCGACCATCTGTTCCAAACACTCTCATACATTTGTTATCCATTAAGAGAATGGTAGAAATTATGTTTGTTTCTATATGCTCTGTGGTATCTTCAATTTTTATGTTTTTCTTAACATCTCCTATTTGGGAGTTTAATGCATCAATTAGCATTGTGTTATTTATATTTACATGAAAATTGCAAAAATGTGCATGTTTTATAGGATTTTCCATGGTGTAACAACTTATTGTTTCTCTATGTTCAGGTCCAGAAAGTTTTGTAGCAGGTGCGGATATCAGACCTGAAATAGTTTGTTCATATCATTGTAATGGTTATATGGAAAACATAGATTTACTGTATATAATTTCAATTTCCTTTGATGTTATCGGGGACTACAGATGGCCATTTGCCTTTGTTTACATTTATGAGTACTTCCCTTGCATATTCAACATTCACATATCCTTCTAAAGCATGCTCCTTAATTGATTAAGGATCTCTCTAAGGATTTTAAGTAATTTCTGGATATTGTTACTTAAGGCAAAACAATTAAATTAATACTATCTAAATTTGTTATTAAAAAAAAAATGAAGAAAGCATGTAACACAAACACACAAAAATGACTGATACTTGAGTAAAAATTACTTATTTTATAGGAAATCAAACAACAATATCTCAAAACACACAGAATTTCCCTAATTTGTTAAAGTCAGTTTTCAAAGTTAACAAGATGCAGTACCGAATCTACCTTCATCATCATCATCTTTATGCACATCAATATATTACAATACAGTCTAATATATCAAATTTGGACAACTTCTTTGGTGTACTAAAGAAGTCAAAATACCAACACCGTGGCTTTCCTGCATGGTATTAGTGTATGGAAGTAAACTAAAACTAAATATCAAAACTTACCCTTGGACCAAACAGCGGTACATCCTTTGACATACAATTCCTCTTCATAAGAACAGTCAGTTCTAAAATTCAATGGTTTTTTGTTTAGTCTTTTATTCTGTCCAGTTGTAAGATTAAATTTTTTGGACATATTACTAGAGCTGTTTGCACTGCTTCTTCTTGATGGTCCAGCTGAATTTAGACATTCTGTCTCCATTTTTTTGACACCAGATAAAAGTTCCGATTTTATTGAAGCATTGAAATCATTTTTGATACGACTTGGTGGCCGAAATGAGTCAGATGCATAGTCATATTTACTGTCTTTTGATGATTGTGGGGGATCATCTTCAATTTCTAAAATACACTTTAATGGTTTAAACATATATTGTAAGTATATAGTGTTGATTATAATCCTTAATCCTTATTAATATATATAATAAATGCAAAAGTGAGTTTATTTATTATCTCTTATCATTTTAACAGCTTAACCAGTTACTAAGAAATATTATATCATTGTGAAATTTTGTATATATTTAATATTAGGGATGGAAAAGGACATAGGCTACTTTTTATCCTAGTAGATAAACATAAGAAATTCAAAAGCAAACAAGAAATAATTATAACCGAAAAAAGGTCATTTGTTTCACGTTTTTAAGTGAAGTACAAAAGAAGTTTCTCAATTCACCCATATTTTTTATTATACATAAAAATATAATGTAATTTATGGCAAGAAACAAATATTTTTGGTGTAAAATATTTCTGGCATATTCTGATAATTATTTTTGTAACCATAACCATGAATAAGTACAAAGTGAGAAAGGGTTCTTCAAAATTCACTTTTCAATATTTTTTAAATAAAGAAAAAAAAATTTATTTGCTAATTGAACAAGTTAATTTTTTCTCCTCTTTCTTATGAAATTGTCGGTTTTTGTGTAAAACCTATAGTTTTGAAAATAATTCTATTATACCTAATCACACTTAAAAAAAATATTAATATTTTAGTTTTAAGTGAATTAAAATATTTTTGACATATTTTACTATAAAAAATAATCGCTTTAAATTTTGTAACCATAATTTTACAAAAATAATTTTTGTAAAATATTGGTTTTATTTCTAATTATGACTTTTTTACATATATATGATTCCATATATTTTTCATCACTATTGAAGCAGCATTTGTGGAGAAAATATATTGGTCACAAACTATGTTAATAACTTACTTATTTCACCTTTACTAGTAATATCTAAGGGAAGTTATTTCATTATTAAAAGAAATATTATTATTAGTTGGCCACAAAATAACAGAACAAACACTGTGTCCATAAAGTGGGTTATTTTACTGACACTTTTATAATATAAGAAAGTGAAATGGTAACCAAATTTTATTTTTAACAATTACAGATATTGCAGGTAAAATTATAGGTAAAATTACACTTCTCGAATAGCTAAATACTTCTTTTGTTCATGTATTATTCATTTGTAATTCCTAGATTAAAACATAAGGTAATTTTTGTCTTAATTTCTATGGACAACTTTTTTTTAATAATAACTAGTTAGAAATAAAAGAATAACAAGACTTACCTTGATCATCCCGAGCATAAACTTCTCGAACGGTCCACCATTCTTGATCCTCTGCCTCCTTCACTTCCAATAAGCTCTCATCTTTTATGGCAAAGTTAGCTAATTTATAGAGCAGTGAATTTTCAGATAGGGAATTATTGTGCCCTTTGTTGTAAATCTTGCCAGGGTGTTTCATTAACACTGTTCTGCCATGTGGCACAAACTCCTAAAATAAAAAGGGTTGGTAAACTCCTATTTTTTGTTTTTTTATAAAATATAATGGAATTTCCTTAACTAAATTAAAATAATGCTTATGGGTATTGTACTATTAATTAAATATTTTACGATCTTCTTATGCATTTTAATGGATTTCAAATACCAAAATATTAATAATATAAACATACCAAAGGTTCGGAGGCGGCAATCATTGTTTTCTCATCCAGATTTGAAGCAATATGCGAATCAACGCACGGTCGTAAGCATAAAACCAGAGATATGCTGCAAAAGCTTCTCCAATTATTATAAAATGTATATCATAAAATCAAAATATCAAGCGGTGGTACTAATAAGTACAAAATATAGAATCAAGCAATGAATTTTCGAAATATACCGACAAGCCCGATCGGGACAATTCGTTGTCAATGTCAATACTTCCAACACTGACAGTATCATTTTTTTTTTAAATAAATAAATGTCATCTAATACAGTTACTGTTAATGTTGCAAGATAACCATTTTGATTTTACCCCAAACTAGATACTAATTAATAATAGAAAATAATTAAAAAATGATTAAATTAATTAGTTTAGATAATAGAAAATGTTATACGGTCGAATAACCATACCAAATTCGGATACAATCTGCTTGCATACTGTCTACATAAACTGTTTCGAATATATAAAATATAATATAGTAATGTAAATGAACAAAAATTTTACATACACATTTTTTATACACTAGCCTGCTATAAATTGATAAAGATAGCAACTGATGGTGTATCTTTCGTCCTTTTTTACTAATTATATTTGCATAAGAAGAAGGAAGCAACCATATGATTTACAGTTTTTAATTTTATAATTCCTTCTATGTAATTCCTAGTTCTTAATTCTCAAATACTAATGGATGTCTCTAACCTATGCTTCAATTGTCTTCGCTATTAGAGAAAAATAGAAGATAAAAATTTATGAATTTTTGTCTAAGTCGAGAATTAATTAAATTTTAAAATTCAAAATGGATTTACGTTGCACTGCACTAATTTTATATTTCTTTTTTTTTGTAAATGACCACTTAGACAACTAACAAAATAATAATATTAGAAAACCTGATTAAAAATGATAACTATATTTTATACACAGAAAATGTGTATATTCTGTAAGGCATGTAGTAAACATGTCTTCCAGAATATACAGTGACACTCATACGTTGCTATTTTAGACGACTGTGGTATTATGTATGCGTACCCGGTAATTTAAAGTTTTTTTTTAGTAATATAATAGTACATTATTGCAGCGGCCAGCAACTGAGGCATTGATAGATGAACGTGCAAATGTGGGCCGAGGCGTAGCCGAGGCACACATACGTGAGTACATCAACGCCTAGTTGTGGCCAAGGCTATAATATTTTTCTCAAACAATACGCGGAAATCAAAAACACAATTTTACTTTTTAAGTTCAATGACGAATAACGAACAATAATAATTTTTCACGCGCCATAATGTTCCTTTTTTTTTTTTTTTTTCAATAAACAGCTTTCTATTTGCAAGCCAGTTCGAAATTTAAATAAAACCTTTTATTAGTTACCTCCTTGGTAGCCATGTATCGAAGTAAAAGGTCATTCCATTTTTAAATGAAAGGACAGATATGAGTTTACATAGTAATTTATCTGGCCGCAAAACACGACAGATATGGATTTTCATACAACTTTTGCCGGCCGCTGCCCGCATGTATCTGGCCCGTACGGCATTTTTTATTTATCTCTAAGATTGTCAAAATAATGCTCACATTTCAAAGCATGTTTGAAAAAATATTCATACTAGTGAATAGTAACTGTAATCTACTAAGAGAGAGTGAAATAGTGGTAATATTGTACTATATCAGATAATATTACTACTTATTTTACTTCTGTAACAGATTAAGGGAATTTTTTATACTTACATCTCTATTAATAATTATATTGTGTAGTAATATGTGCTAAATAAATTTATTTCAATATTGATGTGATAATAGTAAATACATTTTGAAAAAATCTAATCTTTCAAAATTTAAATTTATATTATAATCTTAGACTATACAGCCATTTGTCTTAAAAAACTTATTCGACTGTTATAAGAGGACAGATGAATATAGTATTAGTTATACTATATTTCGTAAAAATAATAATTCCGTGTTTCATTTTACTCTTTTATCATTTAACCATTCAATCGCTGCAATAGGTACCCATTGTATCGGGTAGATATGGCGGGTATGGTATCCACATGAATGTTTCAGTAGATACAAATGAACGTGAGATGACCTATACCGTAGAAAAATAAAAAATTATCACTACATGCGATATAATTGAGTTCGGAAAAAAATTATAAAACATATTACAACATATAAACTTGTGGATGCTGAGGATAGAAAAGAAACAAGTTCCTTATGAATAAACTTTATTTCTACAATAAAAGGATATTGATTTAAACCGCGCTCGTATGTAATAAAACATTCAACAATATACTTTGGAACCAAATAGGTAAACACTTTGGGTGCCGACTTATTATGCCCTAATAGACCAGTGTTTCTCAAACGGCGTATAATTCATCCTACCCATATAATTATGATTTATCTATTTGTGCTGTAAAATACTAGGTATCGTTATTATATAAAATCAAACCATTCCTAAAAATACAATTTCACAGCACAATAAGATTTCGATGGCTTAAATTTAATATTTATTTTATGATATTTTATATTGACTACTGCCCATTGCTAAGAAAGGAGTAACATTAGCAATGGTAAACATTCTTATAACAATACAGATCTTCCAGCACCATAATTTGTTGAAAATAGATTTTACAGGTTTAACAGTTAAAGAGCAAGTTTTGATACATTCGAATTGTGTTGGTTTCCATGTAAACCTAATAAAATCCATTCTCTCGTTTTTTAAAGGCCCATTTATGCGCCTACAATTCGTTTGACATTTTCCTATCTTTTCCGCACATACTGGCCCCATTTTATAATTTTCTTAATCTAAATTGAATAATAATATAAGGCTTTTTTATCAACAAGGCAAAAAATATTTTCGATAAGGTTACTAATATTTGCAGTGATATTACAAAGGCCCGTATAGCTCATCAGTTCTTGATTTAGGAACCATCAGAAGCTCACCATATCTATTAAAAAAAAATAACAATTCATAAAACCTTTTATAAAAAAGAAACAATTTGATTTAAAATCTGTTGTATAGAAGTTTTAAAACAAAATAGCAACAAAACTATACTAATAATTGTTTTACTTTTTACAATTTCGAGTGTATGGAATGCGACAATAATAGCCAGATGTTATGTATAATATACATACTTATAACTCTTAAATATTACATATACAATATCTACAGCCTAGCTTCTCTATTCTAAATACATTTGGTCTTTGGATGAGCATGTCACATTATGGCTTGTGTCATCATTTGTGATTTTAAAAAATATAAGTGCACTTTCGAATTTAGTACTTGTTTCACTTTATTTATATATTATTCTAGACTAGACCTGCAACGAAAGCTTCACATTATCAACCTTATAATAGGAAATAGAATAAAATCACAGAAATCTTTAAAATCCATCACAAATAAATAAAAACATTATTTGAGAAACACTGTTCCAAAAAATAATACATTACATTAAAAATGGTGTAACTTAAAAAGTGATTATTTTTTTTTATTTTTTTGAATCGATTATCGATTTTAATATTGTACGTGGATTTAAGACAAAATTCATTTAACCTCAGGTACCTAATAGGGACAAGAATAATATTTTATAATCTAAATAGTGAACAATTTAACAAAATAAAATATAAACCAATGTTTTTGTTAAAATTTTTAAAAACATTTATAAACGATATTAACGAACATGATAAGCAATCGATAAAAACAATAGTTACATTATAAAACTGACAATTTCCCAGCTTGGAGCGATTATCACAAATTCTCAAAAAAATACGAGTTTCACAAGTATTTGTCTATCTATACAATGGCTTCTGCTACCTAACGGCTATATACGATATTTTTATTTCACGTAAATTGCCAAATATCTGCCGAACGTTTTGGATTATCAATTATAAATTCGTAGTTACACACAATAACACTTTTTTTCTGCCATTAAAGTAAACTAACTATAGGTTTCAAGTTGGTAAATTAGGGACTATTTTAAGAGTGTTGTTGTGTGAACACTTAGGTATTTAAGGTACAAAATATGTGACGCCAGTCACCCTTATAAATATAAAATATATGTATACGATAATTGCATAATATTACGCAATGCACGAACAAAAACAAATCACCTTAAAAATGCAATGCAGTCTCTGCACATGGTGTCTTGGTTTTGTATATAATCTAAATATTAAGGCGATTTAAATAAGTAATCTATCTTTATACAAAATGAGGTTAACAATTTTACATAAATTATGACTCATGTTTGGCATTTCATTACAATGCCATGTTGTGATGTGAAATACTTATAATACATGTTCCAATAATAATAATGCCTGTTTAAATGTTTTGACGAATCTTCACAAACGAAAATTATGAGTCGAAATGTAGTTAAATTATCCTTTGTATTTTATACATACAGTAAATTATGCCTTGCTGTTTTTTATGTGATGTTAAAATTTTATCACGTATATTTTTCTAACACTATCAAGCAGAATGTAGCAGCCTATCATCGACAAACTAAAATAAGTATACATATATCTCTATTTCCGTATAAATAAAATCTATTTCTATGTTATAAAACCTATAATTATGTGTACAATAATATTAATCTTTATGCATACTATGTAAAAGTAGATCTATAATATATATAATAAATATTATCTGATTATCAAGTAAATAATTTTTGGAATATCTTTTAAGGCTAGTTTTGTAGGTATTTTATACCTTGGAAGCGTTTTCTTCGCTCGCTTTGGCGGTTATGGTCTCTGTAATTGATGAACCCTCAATTTTGGACTTGTTGGCCGCCACTTCGGCCAACGTAGCTAGCGCCAGCAAATCTACATGACTTGGAGGTTGTTTACATATCTCCATACTTTGAACGACTGTAGGTGGCGCTTCAGTGGCTATTTTAATTTCGGGACTTATTTTATGAGCTTGTCTCACATCTACATTAGAAACCATAGCGTTAAAATCGAGTCTTGTTATACTAACTTTTCTTGGTTTACGCTTTTGACTGCCGACAACCTGTTCTCGCCAATATTCCCGTTCGATATCTCGTTTCTCATCTAACAGTGGTCTGGGAACTGAGTTGATAATTCGGTCTGTTTCGAATACTTTTGGCTTGATACTGATAGTTTTCTTTTTACGTTTATTTTCTCTTTTTTTCTGTTGAAATTTCTCTAAGCTAAGTGAGGGTAAAGCTCTTATTTTAGCGTCTAAATCGAAGTCGGCAGCCTTGAATGTTTTGTTAATGTTATTGTCTGGTTCGGGCGCGCCTGTTATATCATTTTTGACTTCGTTTTCTGCGGACGTCTCGTTCACTGAACTATCTTGTTTCGAATCGTCTGTCACGGTCGATTCTTCGCTGCGTGAATTACCAGTTTCCCAACTACAGGACGCACTGTAGTCTTCGTCAGACATTTTATCTGAATTCTCCCTTTTCTGTCTCTTATTTACCATTAGTCCCCCAAAAGCCATAAACTCTTGGTATCTTTTACCTTTACACGACCTACCAGATCTAGCATTTTTCTCGTCGTCTGACCAGTTCCTTAAATATCCATCTTCGTCTTTAGAATATCTCTTATCAACTATTTGGTCTATCACATCTTGATTAGTAAACTGATCGCTTGAAATACCACTGCAACGATATATTCTCGCTTTATCGTCATCGAACTCTTCTTCGAATATTTTACTGGTTTCTGTGAGTGCATTCTGAAGATCACGTATACTATCTTCTTTAGAAAGACCCTTTACTTTCGATCTTTCTAATATGCTATGAGATCTGTATCCATCGGGGGTTGAGATCGCATTGTATTTAAGGCAGGGAGGCGAGTAATAAGGATTTGAAGTTTGGGTTTCAGTCTTAGTGGCCAGGAGGCTACTTAAGCCCCCCATTTGGGCTTCATCTGCTAATTTACCAGGTGTAAACATTGACAAGGGTTTGTGAATGTCTGCGTATTCGTGATCGTTGGTTTTTTTGTTTAAATCAACTTTTGTAGAATTATTATTTGTTTTCTCGAGTTCATTTTCATGATAATCATTGTTGGGAAATTCGTTTTGCTTGTCGCTTGATTCTCTTGGCCGGGAGGAAAGAGTACGGAGAGGCGGTGCGGGTAACTTGTACCATTTGAAATCTGGATTGGCACTGAAGAAGGCGTCTTTGTACTGAAAGTATTACAATTTAACATTTTAATTTTGTTGACACTGGCGAATCAGGTTGCAAGTAGAAAGTATACAAAGGACTGTATGCTATAAATAACATTTCATATTAATTAAAAAAAATCAAATGTATGTAATACTAAAATTGAAAATTTACCTGTTTAGCGAGACCCGTGTAGCAAGCTTTCTCTTCTTTGTCCAAGTTAGCCCACCATTCTCCCAATATTTTTGTTATAGATCTGTAATTAATTAATTTAACATTATTTTATTGTCAATTTTGTATCATCACCATTATTTTACGTTAATTTATGTGGTAATCCAATGAAACTCGCTTATATAAGATTTTATTTTCATGAGCATTAAACAAGACAAATTCAAATTATGTATAACCACTCCTATAATTAAAAAGTACTACAATTATATACAAAGATATCAAAATCCGTAATTACTTACATTGTTAATAAAAAGTGGGTTTATTACTTTTTGGCGCCTTATGAACCAATCATTAATTACCAAGAAAATTGCCATACTACATGTATTTGCGATAGAAAAGGACAGACTACTTTTATTTGTGACTAGACACACGGACGAATTCGCAAGCACAGCTACTAAAAATATTTTCACATTGTCTATATTTGTCAAAATAATACGACGTACCTATTTTCAAGATTAGGATATTTGTCACGAACGACGCTTCGGTGACGTTTGCAGAATATAAGAAATGCATTCATGGGCCGACGCGCGTGATGCGCTGGCTCACCTTCGGCGTCCTGCTCATGCATTGTTCACTATCTGAAAAAAAAAAGGGGAAACGATTTGGTATATATTTTATCTTTATACGCCATCTAAAAGTGGTCGTCTATTTTAAAAATTCATCATTTTACGGGCAAAAGCTATTTTATACATACATAATGAAATTTAGTTTGTGAGGTTTACAACGCACATAGTAATGAATAAAATAAAGACCAATGGTATTCTTGTGTTTGTAAAAATGATAACAATAAGGAAACTATTTACCATTTACATTAGATTCTGATGTAGATGAGGGCAGTAACTAAATCTTAATAGGTAATAAACAAATTACGGAATATTTTATGTCTAGTCATTGTACTCATGCATAGATAAGACACTAACTATGACATGTAAAACAATTAAATAAAAGATAATTGGCTTGACTAATGATTTACCCTAAATAATGTTGATATGTGATTCATTAATATTAATTTGTTTCTGAACGCATTAGGGGAGACTATTAAAGACAATTACAGTACAGAGTTAATGAGCTATAGTAACAGATATATCATCAGGCGGGCCATAACTTTGATTTTCAATCTTATTGTATACGAAGCACGAGTATTTTTAGAGAAAAGTTGATAACGATGGATTAATATTATTATTGGTTACCACTTTTCAATAGGTGGGCCGTCAGCTTGTTTGTCATTCTATCACTCTATTACTTCTTACGATCAAACCTAGGTGAATGCAACAAAAAAAGGCATAGGCCCCGGAGGGAAAAGACGATTTAAATGGATTTAGAATATAAAGACTAGAAGAAAACAAGAAATGCTTAGAATTATAAATGAAATTTAAAAAATAGAAGAAAATGATCAACAAATATTTTTAGATTGGTTAATAATATATGTATAGGGAGGGGAGATTAGATGGACATGGAGACGAAATGCCCAGTCTACATATAGCCCAGAATATATATTAAAATAAAAAAAGAAAAAACAGTGGAGAGGGGAGGATGGTCTAAATTCACCTTTTCAAGTTATCTTACAAAAGTGGTAGTAGCCACTTTCTTTGCCAAGTGCATGTTTGTTCGCGTGATAAGGCCAGATAAGGAGGGTCGATGATCCATGTTTATATTAGCGTTATCAGCTGTGCCATCGCTGCTTTGTTTTGTTTAGTCATAAATAACCTACTTGGATAACGAGCACTGATGATTAAAGATGTTAATATACTCTGGGAGTTTATCATAAAATATATTTCCGATCTGATTAAAATTTCGTGCGATAAAAACGTTCATAATCTAAAATGGGGTCCTTAGAATAAATTCTACTATTCTTTTAAATTGCCTGAACAAGGAAAATGTTACAATTTTAACAGCATTTCATGATAGTATGACATTAACGTCTATGTTTGTGTTTCTGTCGACTTCGAAATTTTGAACAGGTATTCAGGTTGGACTGTAGTATACTCCTTTACAAAGTGTTGGAAGGCTATGATACGAAATCCAGTGATAGAACTATGTAACTGAACAACTTTTTTCAAGGAGGAACATATTTTTCGAGTAAGTAAATTCACTTCATAATTATTGTATCTATAATAGATACATTAATTTTGTTATCACCAGAATTTCATTCTTACAAAAAAAAAAATAGTTTTGGTATCTCATTAGTAAAATTAAAGTGATCATTAAATATATTCTATCATGAAAGTTATATGTATAATTTAATTAATAGGAAAAGAGTATAGGTATCAATTAATATAATAAACAATCTATGAGTTCAGTATAAAACACAGTGATAAGAAAATGGAACTTTTTATCGATTTGGCTCATATTTTCGCATGTACTGTAAAGTGAAATATTTCTATTGTGAATTATTTTGCTTGTAATAGGTAAGTATAATTTGATATAGAAGGCGTCGTAATCTCCTACACGTATACATAAAATAATGACTTTAGTAGATCAGTATACATAGGTTATAAAGATATATACTAATAATAGATAGATGCAAGAGGAGTAATTGTATAGGATTTAAAATATATTTTCCTTGCGATGCAATGGTGCAATGTCTCGACTAAGTTGACAATGTCATCGCCCTTGTCGGTATTTAAACCGTATTGTAAATAGACGAGGGTTGTCACAAAAGCGGAAAGAAATAAATGTGACAATTATTTACAAAATAATCTATTAAAATGAAAACGTGAATATTGCAATAGATGATATTGGTAAAATAGTTTATTTAGTACAAGCATTGGAGTATTTAAAATTATTTTCCAGACGGATTCTGGTTCCTTAAGAAAAGCGCATATGTATTTTCAAATATGACCTTGCGAAGCTTCGCCTGCATCCTGGAATGGGTACAAAATAAATCGTTTACTACTAAGTATGTCTATGAGCGTAAAACAACAATAAAAAAATAGAATAACGCCAAGGACAAATAAAGACGTCAGAGACAAAAGTTATCAGTGCACATTTTAGCAACTTTCATTGTTGTGCGTATATAAAAATATTAAGCATTATCTGTATTCCGTGTGATTTAGACTAATACGACGACTACAAGATTAAGAGCAAACGCGGTGGTCGCGACTTTTAAAGAATAGGTAATTTGCAAATCTATACCTGACCCTCTGTGCACGGTTCTCACGGGAGAAAGGGACAACTGTAGAACAGTTTGATAAACATTTATGAAAAAGATTGGTAATCGTATTTTGGTATTCGCCTGTCTTCTCTTCCAAAACTGATCCGATTTTCAATAATAACACAAGAATGCCCTTAGGTATAGCCTTCAATTTCGTTTTAATTTCATCAAATTAGTTTGATGGATGTTTTATTGTAGCCTATTTGAAATATCTTATATTTTAGCGATTATTTTTATTTGAAAAAAAAAAAAAAAAAAAAACGTTGATATAGGGGCATGACAGGGATAGATATGAATTATGTGATGAAAAAAGTTTCTCTAGTATCGGGAGAAAAAAAGGGGAATAAATTTGTATGGAAAAGACAGTGCCCGCGTTTTTAAATACGTTAATTCTAGAATATAGTTAATCTGAGTAGCAAACATTTACATGCGTTCGTTTAAGCGCGGTTGAGTAAGAAACAATATTTTTATAACAAACTTTCACATTTCTAACATTAGTAAAATATATTAATATGTTTTATATAGCCTCGACTGGTTGTTTTTTACTACAGCGCGTTCTGCGACTTTGTATACTAAATATCAAATAAAATCTGTTCAGATATTGATAACAAATATTAAAATATCTTTCAGATTTTGAATATACGCAGTTTTTATGTAATGCAAAATAAAATAGGTCTCTATATAATAAGTGTGATTAAGAAATAGTAATTATTTCTTAATCACACTTCTGATAAAACTGTCCTATATAAATAGAAAATCGATCTAGTCAATTGACAAACAGTTTGATCGACTTCGTGGGCTTGATCGGTAATCGAAGCCCGTATGCAGATATGTGATACCGTTGGCCGAATCCCATCGAATTCCAGACGCGTCAGACCTTGACCCAGTGGACCAAAGTGGGCCGAGGCTGTTGAGGGGGCAATGGCCCGTGAAAGCGAAAACATGCGCTGCGGCACAGGTTGCGGGCTCGCGCGCGCGCACCCAAGAACTTTCGACTGGCGGATCTTAAACCGGTAGAAGAATTCGTGATAATAAAATTAACGATTATGAATAACATTTCGCAGTTACACATGTGAGCTTTCATGTCAACTTTATACGAAATGATAGAAAGGAGGAAAATTTAAATTATTGATTAGTCTATTATTAAGTAGCAGAGAGAATGAAGGTTAACTTCGTATTAAGAAATAATGAGGTTCTTATTAGTAAAATATTAATACGTTAGAACACCGTTACATATAAGGAGAGAGGAAGAGCTAAAAAAAGATAGATTGGCTATGTGAAAGCAGATAAGAATGTTTGAATTGCGACAAGCGAGACAAGTGAATCAAGACCAGTTTTGAAGGCCAAAACATGTGTCGACCCTAAATAAAGGGGAAGCGCCTGAGAAATGAAGATTTTCGTTTAAAAACTGGCAATTAATTGCCTAAAGCTTTCAAGTTGATTTTATAGTTATTTACCAACATCAGTCTAAAAACAGAAAATAGTTATATCCATTACGGATATTTGGAACTTTCGTGATTTACGTTTACGAGTTACTCTATGTAATGGTATGTGTTATAGAAGATAAGCAAATAAACTGTCTCGATATATCGTAACGGTTATGTAACCGCAATATAACGGTAGTAAAATATCAGTTAAGTGCTCAATAACGTACGGATTTCACTTGGCCGTGACGGAGTACAATCGGCAATATGCTGTGTGGTTCTGGTGTCTTGCATTAAAAACAGTATAATTTGAATCTGTTCTCGTTATAGGGTGCTTTTCTACGGAGTTTAAAATGTAAATATGTATTTTTAATTTAGAATGTCGTATAATTACGAGTAGTACACTTGTTTTTAGCTAAGTTAATGATTTATAATGATCTTAATTATTGGAATCTCCTTATTTTGCATATTGGTTATTTATAAACCACAATTTCGCTTACAAGTTGCGAATTCGAAAGTAATATATAATTGTGTCATATTGGACCTATTTTGCAGTAGAATCCATATAAAAAAAATGTTTGAAGTGTAGATAGAGATCTGTTTAGGATTGCAAGTATTAGAAACAATACACAAATTAAGCGTGTCACTTATAAACTATTTGTTTTGATATTATAAAAGCTATTTATAAATAAATCAACGAGAATAATATATTTGCATTATACAACATAGGGAATAAAAACACAATTATATATCTAATAGGTATAAGGAATGTTGATCGTTTGTTTGTAATGAATAATATTAAAATCTACTCTTCTACTCAACTGTTTTTAAATTTTTTTGTTATAGTAAGCTATAGTATCAGTGGGTAACATATTAATAATAGGCCGTATTTTATTTCCAAAAATTCTATCTACCCGTGCGAAGCCGATCCCAATCACTAGTAAAAGAAAAATTATAACATGTACTAAACGTAAATCACTTCCCGTACTAAATCCTCACA